GTTAAAATCACTTATTTAAACGCTGTACTGAACGAGCTATTGATTCTATGCTCTTATTAAGAATTAATTTATCTTAACTACCATAAATAGTAACAGTTAGACATCTTTTTCAAGTTTTTCATTATTGCCTAACATGTATTGAAATGTTTTAGAAACAGATGTCTAGGGGCAGACAAGCCTTCGCAGCCCAGTTTCATAAAGTTCCGGTTGTGTTTAGTGCCTCAATCCCTCTCGATTAAACAATACACGTAATAAGTCCATTTATTATGATGGGTTTTAAATCCTAACCACCCCACCGCTCCTACCACCCCAACCGCCGAAACCGCTAATAAAACTTTGCGATAAAATTAGTATTGTTTATTTCAAGGATCGCAGATTCCACTGCGAAACGAAATATTTTTAATTTGGCGGAATTTTTGCTTACGCCAATATTATGCAATCACAATTTTTTTGAAATTTGAAACGAAACAAATCAATTGACTATTACTTGTATTGTATTTGGTATTTTTCTTCCGAATTCTATGATTCGATAATACTGACGTCACCAAAAAGCCTGCAAATTGAAAATGTGCCGTTTCCCAGTATGAAATCTGCGATCCATAAAATAAACATACTTATTTAACCGTAATTTTTATCAGCGGTTGGGGCGGTAGGGCACAGTGTCTATTTACCATGGCAAAACGTGGCACTTTTAATCAATATTTGATTTTATCAAGTAGAATAGAATTTCCGGTGTGACTATGTGTCTGCCCATTATATATTTTTTAATTGTCTATTTCTTGCTGATAATGATTACTGTTACTGGAATGAGCTGTTATTATAGGCTCACAATATGTTCTTTATTGATACTGTATTGACTACTTCTGATAAACAACTGCTTGTATCCATGAATTAAATTTGTAAACATCAGTATATATACCAGGATGTTTTAAATCTATAATAACAAATAACATGATATTATTGATACTGTATTGACTACATTTGATAAACAACTGATTGTATCCATGAATTAAATTTGTAAACATCAGTATATATACCAGGATGTTTTAAATCTATAATAACAAATAACAGGATATTATTGATACTGTATTGATTACATTTGATAAACAACTGATTGTATCCATGAATTAAATTAGTAAACATCAGTATATATACCAGGATGTTTTAAATCTATAATAACAAATAAAATGATGTTATTGATACTGTATTGACTACATTTTGATAAACAACTGATTGTATCTATGAATTAAATTAGTAAACACCAGTATATATACCCGGATGTTTTAAATCTATAATAACAAATAACATGATATTATTGATACTGTATTGACTACATTTAATAAACCACTGATTGTATCTATGAATTAAATTAGTAAACACCAGTATATATACCAGGATGTTTTAAATCTATAATAACAAATAACATGATATTATTGATACTGTAATGACTACATTTGATAAACAACTGATTGTATCCATGAATTAAATTAGTAAACATCACTTCTTGCAATGCATACCTGATCATATCTTCACAATATCAATGTATTACGACTCTGTCTGATACCTTGGCATCTTTTGGTCATTTTCTTGTATCAAATGTGTTTATTTAGCGTTTAATTGGATTGTACGCTAGCTAAAACAGTCAATCAGATCCCTCGACCAGTAGTTGTATGCTTAGCCATGCAGTGCTTCGGTCGAAAACTCTGATTGGCTGAATTCGCTAGCGTTCAATCAAATCAAATTGCTGCATTTACTAACTTCAAAGACTTGCCTAAAGATGTCAGGGTATTATTTAATCGTATACTTTGACATTGTGTAATACATTGACATTGTGTAATACATTGACATTGTGTAATACATTGACATTATGAAGATGATCTGATCTTTCTAAAAAATATTAGTAATCTTACCAGCACACCCTATACCCCAAGATATAATACCTTGTAAATACCATTTACCATCTGAATATAATGATACTAATGGTCCACCGGAATCACCCTGCAAAATAATATTAATCAGTATTACCAGATCTAGGTGTTGTAAAAGATCGCGGTCCTAGGTATTAAGGGTGCGATGCTGGAATAGGAAGAGAATAAGAGATTATGCTATTGTACCAGTCAGTAATGCACGTCGGAGTCTCGTGCAGTTGCAGGCTGTACACGTACACTCGACTGTTCTGTTGGAATTGTTAAAAAGAATGATAGCAGTATTTTCCTCATCGCTCACTGCTTGCATCTGAAATACTCATACTTTTCGCTTTTCTATAATATATAATATAAGCTATCGAATGATATGGTGTGTGTTACTTACATGACAGGCATCGATATGTTGACTTGTATAACCAGCACAAAACATAGAATCTAAAACTCTACCATTATAATGATTAGTACTATTACATAGTGTTGTATTTAATACCGGTACCATAGCTTGTTTTAAGACATCGGGACAACATGTATCTTTAATCACAATTTAATTAAAAATAAATTACAATTTCGTTTTATTATTTATTTATTTATTAATTTTTTTGGTCTCCGTTGAAATGTAAAAAGCGTATTGTTGAGGTTCATTTCAACCAATGAAAGCGCGTAATGCAGTATCCATGGGATATTGGTGGGATAGCGAACCCAAAGTAGAGCAATATTATGATGAATTAAGAAACGATACCCGCTTGTAAACGTGATTCTGATTGATGGACGTGATTGGCTGCTATAAATAGCTTGTAGCGTCATCAGTACGCTATAAATCTGGTATAAATCTATAATTTTGGTATAAATCTCGTTAGATTACAATGGAGACAAAAAAAAAGAAATTTTAATCAAATCAGTGACACAGTATGATTTATCTAACAAAAATATAATTTTATGGAATTTGACAGGGTATTCTTAAAATATAATTACAATAATGCATATTCCCATCAGAAGCGTTAATTTAGGGCCACCCCAAACTACAGAAATTGGTAAGGTTTAATATTCACACAGAAAGGTATTTGTATTTTTGTGTCATAATCTGTTAGCAAATTATACATACCAAAAGAATCTCCCCAACCTGTAACATAACAATTCTGACCAATACGTTGCGGTTGTGTTGGTAGACAAATGGTACTAATACGACTCGTCATATTAACTGGTTGTTTTAAACGTAATAAAGCTATATCATTATAAGATGTATGAGAATTATATTGTGGATGTATTATAATATCAGCTAAACCAATAGCCTCTACTCCCTTCTCGGCCTGCATTAAATAATGTTTACCAACTCCTACTTGCCATTCTCTAGGTATGATACTCCTAAATTTATTGAAAAAAATCATATCATCAGCAAACACCTACATGTATATGCTACACTTTTCTTTCTTTATTGAAGACCATGTAATGTCAATATTGCGTTACATGATTTTTAGCAATTTATGAGCTTGGATTGGTGCTATTCATAATAGGATACTTTACTTTTTTTAATCTTTTACAAATGGCCGTGGTTATTCGCACCGCGATGGTACAAAAATGGACATTAAAAACATATGACCATCCCTACCTAACCCTAACAATCTTGACAATCAAAATGGCTTCATGCTTGAAAAACCAAAAACTATGGCCCATTGAATTCGTTATTATCCGTACCGTTGTTAGCAGCCAAAGAGATGACACATCGTGACGGCGCAAATAGTCAGTGCGTTTACAAATGCTACTTAAAGAAATGCATTCCGTGGCTAAAATTTTGGTATTAAAACTGTGATCGAAAGAAATTTCCAGTTTAACTAAGCTTGGCCTCTCGTCAAGATATGATAGGCTGTTACTTACACTCCAAAGCAGTGAGCTGCAGTGAGTACCCAGTACGGATTCAGTAAGCTTCCACCGCACATAAATGCTCCTTTGTGTGAAACAGTTGTCTGCCATGGCCAGCTACCTCTTATTGCTTCTTCTCCACCAACTACACGATGTTCTTGAAGAGTAGCTTTGATGCTGGGACGACCGCATGTTTCGTTGACATCTTCAAGAAAAATATTTTATCAATAAATTTATCATAACCCATTAACATTTAGCTAAAAAAACGATGTTGATGGAAAGTGGCTTGGTTTCTTTTAAACTCGTGTGCAACATACTAAAGAGCGGCAAAAATATTGTTCGTTAAGTACGTAGGAGTAATCTTCAATTCCTTTCTTCCGAATGGCCTAAAGACCTTATAAATCTCGCTATATCAGAGCTTGGACCAAGATATCTTCAAAACTAGCCCAATATTCGCTTTTGGATGAGATATTGTCACGTTTAGGGCCAGACGTTTTTTATGGGAGTAGTTTGTATCTATTAAAGCTAAACCATTAAGACATTGCCGGATATTCTACAATATATCTCTGCGTACCAACACGGTGCCACCACAGAACAACCGAGGGTAGGATTACCCTTCTTCGTACAACTCGGAGGAGTCTATCCTGCGGACATTGTAGAATATCCGACATTTTAATGGACTCGTTATTTCTTCAGCTTGGTTCAAATACCAATAACCATGGTGAAAATTCTCAAAATCTATCGAGAAAAAATGAGTCTGGGCAGCTTAAATGTGACATTATATGTCTGACCCTAAACGTGCCGATACCCTAACGTTTATCACATACGGGGAACGGGGAGGAACCCGATTTGTCGGAATACTTTAAGCCTATATACATAATTAATCTAGACCATTACCAACCACAAAATAATTCATCTGTTTTATCAGCACAGTCTGTTTTGTTATCACATACTAAAGATCTATCTATACAACTTCCATCTATACATTTGTACTGGTCTTTAGTACAGCTAGCTGAAAAGACAAATGGTATTAGTTTCACAGCTATTACTGTGGGTGTCGACAGCAAGACAGAAATTTGTACGCTTTCGATATCTGGTACTCTTTTGAAATGTTTTCAGTGAGTTTTCAGATAAATGAAATAATTAGGCTCAAATTGTTATACATAAACATATGACAACTTTAATTGAAGTACATACAGATGCTCGAACAATGCTATTTGGTATAAAACCAAAACTTGATGGTAACACGTTATTTATTTATTTTTCAATGACAGTAGTTGATTGATATACGAACATGAAATAGATTACCAATGTTTTCCATGGTATGGTATGTTAGATTGAATCCAATACCACTAACAGCTCCATCAGACACAAATTTTACATACACTGTATTAGAATGAGTCGTAATATCTCTCGGTAGTCTAATTCCACAGTATTTTCCTAGTATTGTTCTATTTCCTGAAGAACCATCCCAGAATTCTACATGATCATATTGACAGCTCTCTTCGTATTCTGTTTCAAAGTCTGCGAATATCAGCCGCAGGACTTTGCCTGGTGTCGTTGTGATCTGCCACTGACATTTCAGATTCGGACTGTAGTTGGTATATCCAGTAAAACCAATAGAAGTCAGAATCCCTGATTCAGATTTAAGCTCCACAACATCTTTCGGACAATGGTAAACTGGTAATGTTGGCACAGTCACTACAATAAAAAAAAAGAGAAAAATGTCAACGGATCATATTCAGTTTACAAGGATTGAGACGTATTTTACCACTCACACAGCAACATAGCAAACTTTAATTTGCGGAAACACTTGATGCCAGGCTGCGACTCGGTTTGTCAACTCATCATTATTTTTAAGGAATAGGCCCAACCATCAAGTTAATATTAATCATTTTGTATTATTCAGTGACCAATAACGTCGATAGCCAACTATTAGAAATCATATGATATGTAAATCTTTTACATGGAAGGGGAAAAATTCATTTTTTGAGCGTTACTGTTTGTATAATAGGGCCTATAGGTAGACGAACGTTATGATTATGACGTCAAACAATTAAAATACTTAAAATAATAAAATAACGTCAAAAGTCACAGAAAGTTACTTTCTATAAGACGTGTTTACAAGTTTCTCTGCATTTTGTCGATTTTATTACACTAAAGGTAACTAAATATATGTTTTAGTTGTAAAATGTTGAATTCATAATGCATGTACAGTATGTTTGATTGATTCTGACCCAAAAATTTCAATAATAGCTCGTGATAACGGTTTCAAATGCGGGTTCTAGCGTCAAAAACAGGAATAGCATTTTAAGTTTTCTTTTAGTTCTATTAGTTGATTAAAAACTTAATTGATTTCGGCAAATAAATTCTCTATATAAAGGCTTACACTTTTATTTGTCGACGTTCGTGCATGAATGAAATTGATTTTTAGGAGTATTTCGGCCGTGTTTGTTAAGATACATACATACATATATATAATGCTATAGTTTTAGATATTCCGCTTTTTTTGCTCACATTATTTTGTGAAAACTATACACCCACATCTAGAGAAATGTGCCCTTTAACATATCTGAAAGTTTTAACTAAAAAAAAGTTCAACAGTTAATATTTAAAAACGTTACTCAAGGTTTTTAAGTTCGTTATGCTTTATGGAACTTAATTAACAATTAGTACTCTCCGTTTTTAATTAACCCTTTTAAAACAAATTCAAATTCAATTCAAGAGGATACATAGATGTTATTAGCATACTTTATAAATATTTTCAGTTATAATTTACGACTTTTTTGATAATGAAAATGTTTTACCAAAAAAGCGGAATGTTCCTTTAAAATAGGCACAGGATAGTATTTCGGCATCCGTAAATTTTACGACAGTTCACCCATATCTTATGTTTCATACAATCACGAACTGTTCCAAACACTAAAACTAACCCTAAAATAACAAAAACCCATTCCTCCCTTAACCTAATAGATTTTATATTGTTACGACAGGCTACTCATAGAATATGTTGTTTGTTGTAATAGACTGTCGTAACAATAGTCACTTCCATTGAAATAATGACAAACGCCTGCTTTATATATTCGAAGGAACTTTTATGTACCAGAATTATTGCGAGTTGAGTGGGATATGTCAAAAGAATCCAAGAGCGAAGGGTTCGGAGATTAATTTTTGGTAAAAAGGCTATTCATTCGATGTTGAACATTTTTCAATTGCGAAAAGATGCACCCGAATCTAGAAATTTTTGCCTTTATACTATTTTCTCATTGGAAATTTGCCAATTTCAAGTGTCAAGTTGCAAAATATTTATTTTTCTATCGTAGTATGTTGAAGCCAACATTACAGTTGCCAATAATCAGCAAAATACCTTTACAAATAATGGTAATAAGAAGACTTTAAATCTTTAACAATAATTTGAGGGAGACTATCATTTGCCGATTATTTGAAGACATCTTCAACAGTCGTTTATGTGCCGATTTCGCTAAATGCGATAGTCGCCCGCTCTCCTAAAATCATTTCTAAAAGATAATTTTTCGCCTTTTTCGGGTGTTGATTTGGGTATTGGATACTTCTTCAGAAGTACTAGAATTGCACCAAAATTGCACAATCCCAAACAAATATACTTCAAACTAGAAATTTCACTTCTTTTTCTTTATATTATGTCTTTTCAACATATGGCGGAGTATTTCATTTCAACGATCAAACGCGGATAATTCTGTACACACACGGAATTGAAGGCTCAGATTTTGTCGGTGAACTGTGAACTTAGTTAAAATATTCCCACATTTTAGAGCCTTCCTTGAAAAAGAGTTGTATAAATCTTATTTTCAAAAAGCGATAATTTTCGTGAAAATTTCATTCAAAAGTAAGACTAATGGCGTAGGTCAAAGTTCAATTTGAGCATTATGACGTCAAACAATTAAAACACCTAAAATAATAAAATAACGTCACAAGTCACAGAAAATTACTTTCTATAAGACGTGTTTACAAGTTTTTCTGCAATTTTTGCCGAATTTTCTTCATTCAATCCAGGTAACTCGTCATTTTCATTATTTAAGAAGTATATTTCATATGATCCATCTGCACTGGTTCGAAATTTCATTTCAAAATGTAAAAGAAAGGTCAAATTTAGGTGAAATTTATGAGAATATTAATTTTCTGTGTTAACAAGCTTTCACAAATATGTTTTTTATTTGGCAAATTATATTTCAATCTTAAGCAAAAGCTTCGAAAACCCTATGAAGAAATCTAAACTGCTGTAATTTTCAGACAATGTTAAAATTTTGAATGCATAAGTTGGTAAATTTGTTCATAAACCAATTGAAATCGTTGTAACATCGTGTTTAATGAATTGTAATGTTGAGCCTCTGTCGCCCCAGTTCATACATAGTCTGTAAAGAATGTGAAATCATACTGTTTTTTTCCGCTGAAAAGAGATATTCTTAAACATTTTCCTGATGCTCAAGAAGACAGTTTATTCATTCGCCAATACTACTTTTAAATCATATCTTTATTCCGTTACTTTCTTTAAACATGTATTTTATTTGCTTTCAGAAATGGTTGTGGTACCTAGAGATGATTATGACTGTATGTCATATCAAGTTGATTCTACTCTTGATGATTCAAGAGCTCGGGTTGTTGGAGACCTGAAGCAACTCAAAGAAGGTAATAACATTTCAAATACCAAAGCTTTCATGTGTTTATATGCTAAACATCTTCCAAAAGAAAATCCATCAAATTTTTTTTTGATCACAGAATACAGATCGACTTATTTAGATTTTTTACTTTCTAATACACTATTTTGAAATCAAGATATAGTTTAGACTCAAAATTTGGTCGCAAATCTGGACGCATGTTTTCTAATTCCGACACCAATATCATCTACCTAATATAACCAATTTAGCTTTTCTTCTTGTTGACACGCAAGTTATAAATTATATCTGGACGCATGGTTTGGTTGGATGGTAGATGAAAAGGTAACTTTCGCTTCTAGCGGATGCTGATATCGCAAACTAGGTAATCGTAGTAGTTGGTAGTTGGATTGGTTCAAATTGGATGATTCTGTGTTGTTGGTTTGGTTGTTGATACTTCGTTAGATCTGGTCGAGTCGAATGACATGGCGGTAAAACTCGATCTCCTTCATTCATCCAAACTCGTTCTGATCGTGGTATTTCTTGTTGATTGGTAGTCGAATGGTTTGGTTTGATTTGGTTAGATTATCGACGAATGGTTTTTGATTCCGACACTGTTATATATACCTAAAATAACCTCCAAGTACATATATAAATAAAATAATTTTTATTAATCTTGATCATACTCTTTTAATTATTGCAGGCTACAAGTACCAAGATGCCTTCAAAACTAAACCTAACTTTTTAGAAGTTTATATGGCTAGTTTGGATCAAGAGAATAATGGTGACAAAGAAAATACTAAAGCCAAAAAAGGTAAATACAACAAATTATATGTGTAGTAAACTAACAGAGTATTTATAATATAATATTTATCATGTTATAGGTAAGAAGGTTGATATTAAACCTGACTGTAGTAAACTAACAGAGTATTTATAATATAATATTTATCATGTTATAGGTAAGGAGGTTGGTATTAAACCTGACTGTAGTAAACTAACAGAGTATTTATAATATAATATATATCATGTTATAGGTAAGGAGGTTGATATTAAACCTGACTGTAGTAAACTAACAGAGTATTTATAATATAATATATATCATGTTATAGGTAAGGAGGTTGATATTAAACCTGACAGTAGTAAACTAACAGAGCATTTATAATATAATATAATATATATCATGTTATAGGTAAGAAGGTTGATATTAAACCTGACTGTAGTAAACTAACAGAGCATTTATAATATAATATATATCATGTTATAGGTAAGAAGGTTGATATTAAACCTGACAGTAGTAAACTAACAGAGTATTTATAATATAATATTTACCATGTTATAGGTAAGAAGGTTGATATTAAACCTGACTGTGGTAAACTAACAGATGGTATAACAGAAGATCTAGATGATGATACTGTTAGTAAAATGTATGATGATTTACTACTACAACTTGGTTTTGGTGAAGGACAATCTCTACCAATTGCTGATTACAAAAATCCATATAAATTTGGTTATTTATTAAAAGGTATGTGAACAAATAAACAATCGTATTTCAACATTGGCACAAAAATATCATTCCAGTGAAAAGTTCCACTTCTTGACAGATCATATTATTTCTCATGGTCAACATGAGACAAAGATTATATTTAATAACAGAGCGTAAACATTTCCCCCTCAACTAAAATTGAAAACTCCTCCTTTTTTCCGAAATTTCAAGTCAAAGAACTTCTTACTGTGTAGGAATTGTCTGATGGAAAGTTGTTGATAAAATGAATACAGTTGGGTTGATATATGTTATATTTCTCATTGCAGTCAAACCATCAAGACCCAAGCGATGCAAGGCTGGATTCAGAAGAGCGTTAAAAGCCATTAGAAATGTTTTAACCAGACCATTTTTAATTTGCCGTAACAGCAAGATCCAACCAAATAGTGAAAAATAAACTGGATCTATGATATGATGATAAGAACTATGGACTGACTGATAACGAAGATCTCATACTACTATGATATATTTTATATATTCCTTATTGGATTTTTACACCATTTTGCTTTTTTGGCAAATATATTTTGTATTTTTACAATTGTTAAGTTTGGGAAGAATATATCAATATTTTGGATACTTAGTTGTTCTTTGTCCCTGATATGCGATATAGATATGCTTGATTTCGGAGGGTACGAGGAGTGATATCTGGATTTGCATTCTGTTATTCCAGATCAAATCGTTTCAGAAAGTGTCACATGATAATAACTTGACCCTTACTCTTCGTGTTTGAGGCCAATTATTATTGATGTACAGACTAAAGACTAAATGAATAGGAATGTTTTGTTAGACCTTAAAGATCTCCCTGCAAAAGTACAAAAGCAGCCCTTTTTACACCAAAGAAAATATACGATCTCGCATGTTTATTTGGAGCTGTGGTGGACATTAAATAATAACAATAATGTATTCTAATTTATGCTTCCTTGAAATCTTCGGTCAAACTCTAGATTAAGTGAATTGTAAATTTGACTTACCTGGTGTCATTTGAAGATACTGCAATATGATGCCTTTCCCTTCAATACTCTGATCGGAATGAAACTTAATGAACATTTTATTGGCTGTAGCTATAACACTAGCTGGTAAATCTTTACCACAAAACGTAGCTACCATTCTCGATACTTCGCTATCACCATCATAGAAGGTTAGGTAATCTTTCTTACAGTCTGTTGACGTCTCTAAATGAAACGATTCAAAATTGACAATAATATTGGCCCCTGGTTCGCCTACAAGTAACCATTGACAGTTCAAGTTTGGGAAGTATTCACCGTTTAGTTGATGAGGTAGTGTAATAGAGCCTGTTGAGGCATTGAGATAAAGCACGGACCCACAAGCAGTATTTCCGCTCTGTCCACTTGGAAGTGTCTGGTAATTACTTGATGCTGGTGGTGAATCTGAATTTGGGAAGAATGTTTTCGCGGTTGATGAAACTGGACTAATACGAGATGATGTCAGAGCTGGTCGAGCTGTCATCAGGTGCTGACGTGTACTAAGTGGTGGTGATGAAATTGAACTTTGTCTGGAAGGCATCGCAGTTGATGGAGTTGTCTTCTGGTCTTGGTGGGTATTTGGCGTTACTGATGAACTTGATATTGGAAGAGATGTTATCGTAGCTGACTGAGTTATCTTCTGATGCTGGTGTGTATTTGGCGTTACTGATGACTTTGATAGAGATGGTATCGAAGCTGTTTTAGTTATCGCCGAATACCGGTGCGCAATTGACTGTATTGATGAACCTATAGTTAGATTGGATGTTGTCGATCCGGTTTTCGTCTGACGAGATGTTGTGGAAGATGCAGAAACTTTTGACACAGTTGCTCTATTTCCATTGGCATTTGAATCTTCTGAAAATAACAAAACAACATTGTCGTCTTATAATTACAATTTCCAATTCATTATAATTGTATTTACTTGTTACTCTTATCAGAATATACATCTTTAAGGGATTGTAAAGAGGTTTTCTAAATTTTCAATGTGACGTCTGACGTTCCAACAATTCAACTAAAACTAAGAGTTCAGTAATTGCGAAAGTCCTATGTAATACAAGTACTAACGTAATTAATCACTTAGTTTTAGTTGACTGCAGGAGCCACAGACGCCTGATCGAAAATTGGAGTGATGCAAATTGATGCTATCTAGAAAACCTCTTTAAGATCCCTTTTCAATAAAAGTAGAAGAGATTATATATTATGTAATTGTGTTAAAAATATTCGCAACAGCAACAAAGCGTTACCAAATCAGCATTTTCAGACATAAAGTTTCGTGTTACCATTGCCATCTTGACCTGTTCCGAAGTTCAGTGTGATTAATTGCAAGTATGCGAAGATGGGAAAGATCAACGAACCTGAATGCCAAGTCAAAACAAATCCAGACTGTGTATTTTGACTATCAGTGATAAAATCAATTCGTATTTCATTTGTATAAGTTGGTATTGATTGACGGTGAAGAACTCCACAATATCTTCCTAATTAATTAACAAAACATTGCATAAATAAAACAATTATTGCATAGAGTCCATGTTTTATACATGTAAAACAGCTTTACCCAGACAAAATAATGTTTTCACTGGCTATGTTGCAACAGGAGAGGGTTGTGTGTTAAGATTGGTTGGTACATGAAATTAATATAACAAATAAAAGGAAACAACTTATTTAGAATTTATCGTCCAATTGGCCTTTTGGGTGGCACCAGGATTGGTTGAATTCTTGCAACAGGTCTACAATAAAAGTGTCTCTGGCTATAAGGTAATAATTCTCCATTCTACGTCATATATTGTTATAATTACCGTATAGTCGTTTATGTGTGCACCTCCCTACTTCAAGAAACAATCGGATGATAACTAATTTCAAGTTCAAGTTTAGGTGTTATTAACTAATGATCGTTACTTATATAGAATATAAGGCGATCATTATAGATCATGTAATACCATTGTTTCTAATCATATTAAACATACCAATGTCAACACCCTTACCACGTGCACAGCACTTTCACGCGTATTTTGCGGTTCGTAAAGACCAATATCAGCGAAAAAGTACGATGGACCCATACGACTGCAGCAAAGGAGTTGGTAGGTCATAACATAGCATGCATGTTCTGGCCAGTGATTGTACTTATCAATCACAATGATGTTAAAATTGGATACATAGGCCAATGAGTGATCAATCACAATGATTTAACATTGGATGCATTCACCTAGGGGTTGATCAGTCACAATGATGTTAACATTAGATACATTCACCTAGGGGTTGATCAATCACAATGATTTTAATATTAGATACATACGCCGATAAGTTGATCAGTCACAATGTTAATATTGGATACATACGCCAATGGGTGATCGATTACAATGATCATTACATCATTTGATACATGTGTCATTGAGTGATCCATCACAATGATGCTAACATTGGTTGCACGAACCAAGGGGTTGATCAGTCACAATGATGTTAACATTGGATACATGCACTAAGTGGTATATCAGTTACAATGCATTTAACATTGGATATATACGCGGAGAAGAGTTGATCAGTCACAATACATTTAAAATTGGATAAATGCTCTAAGGGGTTGATCAATTACAATGCAGATAGCATAGAATACATGCGCAGGGGAGTGTTGATCAGTCACAATGGCGCATACCTACATGTACTAATACGTACTCTATATAGAAAACCATGATGAATACTTGATGTATACTTACCAATAGGTTGATTTGTCACCACGTCATGAAGAGAAAGATAATCATAGTGACACCCTTCTGCTACAGTCCCTTCCGTATCGAGATCTAAACCCATTATTAACCACTGCAATACAAACAAAGGACTTTGTATATTGCTTTGATCACTATAAGACTATACCATTATCAAGAGTATCATGAGCACATTATCATATAACGTTCAGTCAAATTAATCTAAAACGTCAGCAAAATCGAATAACATTATATTAAGGAAAGAAATATAAAACACAATAGTTTACTCGTCAAGGAAATCTATTACAGCAGTTACTCAGAAAAAAGGTCTTACCTTTCCATGTGCAGCCTTGATTGTCCATCGACAAGAGAGATTATTGGTGTAATTCAATGGATAATTTTGGCTGGTTAAAACTCCAGAACCTCCTATATCGGTGATGACCCCACACTGTTGAGGATGACTTGGCTCACGGAAATATGTATATTTGATCAGAAAGCCAAGACTCTCTGTATTTTCATCTGTGGTGAATGTCAACTGGACGTTACTTAATGTTGTTATAGCAATTGGTACAGCTGGTCCACAAAAGTCTTGTCTTTTTCGACCATCTGAGATCATTAAGTTATCTTTAGAGCAACTAAAACATAAATGTAAAATTTAACTATAACCATCTAAAGTCGGATTTTCGAATTTCTAAACCAAATTTTCGCTGTCGAATTGTGGAGTTACTAAGTCGAAATTTTTAGTAAATTGTCGAGTTGCAAATCCAGATTTTAAGCAAATATAGGAAAATCACGACATTTCCAGATCACTTTATGTCGAAGTTCAAAGTGACAGTAAAATCGTTTTATTTTCGGCATACCGCATTGCTAAAATATTGGAGCTTTTTTTAATTCATTTACAAGTCGTTATTCACTTTATTAGGTCACAATGATTGTTTATCTTCAGAAACCTTTCAAAATAAGAGAATTGCTTGGCATACATATTATTGAATTTCAAAAGACTACGATATAAACTCTGTGGTAAAAAGGAAAGGGTATTTCATATAGGCCTATGCATCATCCTTACATCAGTTCTTACCTGGTAGAATTTTCCAGGTCAAAAACAAGAAACTTGAGTTTGACTTTATAAGCTGTTGGTGGTTGAATGTTCCATGTACAGTTCAGTTTGTTAGGATACAATGTAGTACCAAATCCTTTATGTGATTTTATTAGTCCAGAGATCTTACCAATGGTAGATGATGTTCCACATTCTGGAAATGTACAATGATATAAGTGTCTGTTACAGCGGACTAATTTCATATACTATCATGTACTATTAGATATTGTACAGTATAGTACAAGTACAGCTGGGTATTTAATGTCGGTGAAACATTGAACTTGTTTCTTCTGATGATTGACATTCTTATAATGTTAACTATTAATGACAAAAAATCCCTTTTTTACCACTTATTTTCCACAGTTACAAACGCAACAAAAACAAACACATGTCACTGCTTTGAAATGTTTTAAACTTACCTGAACTATCTGTTTCAACAAAGTCTTTTTGTAGTAAAATGAATAAAACAAAATAACACAAAGGACTGAAAATTCGTTTCGCCATTTTTAATACGTTATCAGGAAAATAACGTTGGGATATCTATTTTGATACAAATATTTTGGTTGTTAAATTATACTACTTTTGTTTGATAATATTGCACCGCTATTAAGTTGGAATACGGGCATTGTTGAAATTGACCAAAATGAATATACAATAATGCGTTAGTTTCCAAGCGCAGATTTAAGGACGATCTCAAATTGGCCTTGCGACCGACAGATTAAGTAGAACTGGATTTTCCACGAGAGCAAGTGTTGTTATATGCGTAGAATCAGAACAGTCTCTTGTGACCATCATTTTGATCGCAAACATTCAATTCGGTAAAATTGTACGTTCTTCTCAACAGCGACAGATCTGATCAGATGATAAATTATACGCCAGTTAGTCCACACTGTCTTGCATCCACCCAAACCACATTTTTGCTCTTGGTGTGTATACGTATCTCTGAAAAACAGCTAAAGTATAAGTTGTGGAATAACAATGGCAGAATATCCCCAAAAAGAAACATAAAAAATGAAAATAATTAACTGCCAGCTCATGGCACCACAACATTGTCTAATTGGGCAATGCATTGGTGGTCAGTTAAATTGAAAATTTAATGTGTTGCTCTCGACCGAAGGCTTAAACATCTGTTACCAATGGCCTTCGGATCCTGAACTACCATTAATTACATAGCAAACGTATAGTATGTATCTACATCAGCTTTGGGATTCTTCTCTACAGCGTCTTTTTTTGCTGATCAGAGGATGTGTACGCTAACATTATCTATTACAATGAGATACACCAGAAAGTATGACGGTATCTGACTGTGTATTCATTAGCGGATTTGGGTCATTCAATGATTTTGAGGTATTGGTCCACATGTACGCTTGTATAATGGGGCGTCAATGAAGTCTATAGTATAATCAAATAAGAAGCAATAAGTATAGAAAGATACTAATCCTCTCTAAACACGCAACATTGGAACCACCCTTAATTCCAAACTGATACAGAAATCAATTCCGTTCTATGACTATATAACCATTGCCCCGAGCCGAATCGAATTTGTCGTTAGTTGCTGGAACTGGAAAGACACTTCAGGACGTTACAAAGGTAAGACCTTGAAATATTTTTAAGTTTTTTTGTTTCTTGCTTCAAAACTAAATAATATCTTGAAAATGAAAGACAATTTGCAAAACGTAGTTGGCCTACAACTGATTTGTTTTGATAAGATTCATCATCACAATATTTCAATATGTCTATATCACTCTACAATCATTTTCGTAAATGGAAATACGGGAACCCATCTTTACGGAAAGGTTACAGTAGATGAGTTGAATTGTGTGGGCACATGGGGTATTTCTCTAATCATAGACAATTCAATTCCAGGAACAAATAACGTCTTCAAGATGACGACCGGTATCTCTCAAATTATGTCGGCCATGACTACTTTACCGCCGAAAGAAAATACCACCCATCTGTTTGATACATGGGACGATATGTTTGTTCATCCTCATTGGAAAAATTTTCCACCAGTTTCTGCTGCCTGGCATAATTTTATAGGAATTTTTATAACATTTGTTGGTATTACTGGTGTTATTGGTAATTTTGTAGTCATCTATACATTTAGCAGGTACGTTCATTCTTATACTTTAATAAATATTTTACAGTACTCAATATTTTGTTGTGAAGTTCTATTATACCTGTGTATATTGTTTTACAAGGTATATTTCACCTTCCGATTTTTTATGTCATGATTAACTTCAGATATGACATAGGGTTTGGTGCATTGATAAAATCTTTAGACATATTTTTACAATGCTGCGCTTCTATACTGCGCACGTAGGTTACTCTTCCAGATGCAGCATTACGATTTCTCATACGATGTGGTTCCAAAAATTACTGGAAAACTGGACCAGAATATGACTCTACTATGCAAAACCATTTGACATTTGGTCATATTTTTCTGAGATTTCAAAAGGAATATCTGCATAGTTTTAATGAAGGTATGTTTGTGTATCCTATATTGCAAACAGGTTTGACACCCTTGAATTGGCATGTGTGGCCAAGATTTGTATATTATGTTGACGACTGTTGTATTATCTTTTCAGAACGAAATCTTTGAGAACTGCATCCAACATGTTCGTTGTTAATCTAGCTTTGAGTGATTTGACTTTTTCTGCAGTAAATGGTTTTCCTCTATTCAGCTTATCATCTTTCAGCCATAAATGGATATTCGGAAGAGTTGGTAAGTTGACAATGCACGCGATCTTTGACGTCATAGTTAGTATATTAATCCTCTTCAACAAGTTGAATGGAAAATGAATGATCATTTTGTCTGATTGAAATTAATCATGATTTTCCCAGTGGCACTTGAGATTTTCCAAGTTATATAAAGTATTTTTAGATTAATATACGGAAGTAAAAAATCTTTCCATCGCACACTGAAGATAACATTTCAAAGAGATCACAGTCATTAATATTTTTTAGTCATGACATATATCCATTACAAAGTTTGATCCAGCATTCATTTTGCCGTTGCCGCTGCCCGACTGCCGTATACACATTCCACCTTTCGCTATTTGTTAGCGCGATAGAGTTTCGTTCGGTTTCATTTAACTTTCATTGGCAATCTATCTTTTTAAAACTTTTTACTGTAGGCCTAACATTACACATGTTGTCACCATTTTCGTGACTGAAACAGAAGATAGCCATTCTCCAGTCTAATATCAAATATTATTTTTTTACAGCATGTGAACTATATGGTTTAATTGGTGGAATCTTTGGTTTGATGTCCATCAACACCATGGCTATGATCTCTATAGACAGATATCTGGTTATCACTAGTCCATTTACAGCAATGAGGAACATGACTCACAAAAGAGCATTCTTAATGATAGTGGGTGTTTGGATCTGGTCCATACTCTGGGCCATTCCACCAATCTTTGGATGGGGAGCATATATACCTGAAGGATTCCAGACCTCCTGTACCTTTGATTATCTGACCAGGGGTGATAACAGAAGATCCTATATCATGTGTCTGTATATCTGCGGGTTTGTCGTTCCACTTGGCGTTATCATCTTCTGTTACGTCTTCATCATCAAATCTGTCATGAATCACGAGAAGGAGATGGCAAAGATGGCCGATAAATTAGACGCTAAAGATGTACGATCTACAAAAGAGAAGGCCAAAGCAGAAATCAAGATCGCCAAAGTTTCAATGACCATCATTCTACTCTATTTGATGTCATGGACCCCATACGCTATTGTTGCCCTTATTGCTCAGTGGGGACCGGCTTTGGTGGTCACACCCTATGTATCTGAAATACCAGTACTGTTTGCTAAGGCATCTGCCATGCACAATCCTGTAATATATGCCTTAAGTCATCCAAAATTCCGTGATGCAGTAAGCAAGTTGATGCCATGGTTCTTGTGCTGTTGTGGTCTAACTGATGCCGAAAAGAAAGCTCGTGATGAGTTGGCCAAGAGCAAGTTTACTAGACAAACCAGTACTATATGCAGTGAAGGTTCTAGTGTCATGAGCAACTTGAGCGAATCGACCTATCCTAACCAGAACGGAATCGAAATGACACCTAATCCAAGAGGCGGAAGCAGAAGAATGAGAGATGTTCAAGAAACCGACCTTGGTAACGGCGAGACAAATGGGGCGCTCATACGAGATATTCTCCAAGCTTTCGTTGGAGTTGTACAAAGCAGGAATGTGCCACATGCCAGTGCAACACCACAAATGCCAATGTATGTCCCATATCCTTATGGCATTCCGCCAGAAATGGTTGGACCTGACGGTCGTCCACGTCCGGATGTATACACTATTAGTCAGACTGGACTTCCTCAAGGAATTGATCCGAGGGTCTTTGGTCAAGCTCCAGGCGTAAATGTACCAAAAGATCAGACGACAGGATCAAAAGATGGAGATTTGCCGCCACCACCACCAGAAGATGAACAAAAGGCCAAACCTTATTCAAAAAGCCCTGCCAAAGTGCCGATTCCAAAAAGTCCGATTCGGGCTCCGAGTCCAAACCCAGCAATGCTTGAAGGTGAACCTGCAGTCATGGAAACAACAAACGAAACAGACACCGGACACGAAAATAAGGCTTACGAAAAAGATGCTTAGACGTCAGATCATCAGCTACCTGAGACAACTGGTCAAAATGTTCATGTCCGAAAGATATTGGAGATAATTGAAGAAAAAGAAGCACATTAAATATAATGTGCAAATGAAAAGCTATACAAATCAAGGTAAACCGGAATTAGCCGGAAACAGGTGCGCCTGGGACCGATTTCAATATCAACATGAAATCGCAGTAGATAAATTGACCAAAATAACTTAGAATTCTGTTGCTAAATAAATTCGAGTAGATCAATTTATGTATATCAATTCACAAAGATAGAATGACATCCGCCAAGTCATCACTGTTAGATCTATGATCTCCGTCTCCAAGTATATACCTGGATAGCCTATTTAGATATATTAAAACAGAAAATCTCAGAGTTTCACGCTATGCGATCTTCAGATAACTGACCTATTTTCAGCCTGCGTATTAGATATAGATTTATATAATTTCGAGAAAAACTTCTTTAAAACAAGGATCGCACAATTTATTTTTAACTATGTAATTCCGTCTATTGTAAATATGTGCAGGATTAATCAACGAAGCTTATAATATAAATTATAGTACCGGTATTATAATAATCATATACTCATATATATCATTTTGTTAAATGTTGTACTATTGAACGCACATAGTCTGTATTATTTTGTTATTTTAATATTACAATATTTCATGTAAAATATTTCATTTTCATAATAAAACATAATACATAATAACATTGTTTTAGAGAAAGATGACTCGCAACTACCTTGCAACAGAATCTTTGAGCAATGGGAGTTTCAACTACAATAACTGGCGACTGATCAATCGCTAGATTTAGGTGCACCAACGACTTAAAAATGATTGTTGAAAGTCGCCGGTAGTTCCTGTTCTTCTTTCTACCTAAACTTTAATTCTGCCGTCGATCGGAATCGCACAAACGACACTTTTTTATGTATTAAAGATGGGTTTCCTTGGTTTTTAGTATCAAATTGAGCACACCATTTGATAAATCGGTGTTTCTGATGAATTATCATGTATTCTTAATCACAATTGCATGTAATTTTAAGAGTTTTAACCAATCACAAATGTCCATGTATTGCAGTCTGGATGAAAAAAAAAAAACTTTTTGACCTATCTTGATCGGTCACTCATTGGAATTCTGCTGGTAATTCTCTTCTAATTTATCTAATTATGTATTAATTATGGTCATGTGAGACAAACTGATATTTTTCCAAGTCATTAGAACACCTCTACTTTCTATTCATATAATTATTAGCATTTTCATTTTCATAAATAAAAATAAGGGAACCCATCTTGGAAACCCTCGAAATTCAGACATCGCCATAGACGTCTTGAGTATTTGATTATGTTCAGAAACGACAAACACAGTATGTTCAAAAAGACACGGGTCACTCCTACATAGCTATTCAGTTCCAACATTTAAATTTTTGGAGATGAAATAAGAAGCACAATTATGGCAGTTGTTTTCTTAACAATACAGCTAATGGGAACTTTTTCTGATCCTTACAATATGGCACTGGACAAAAGGGCTTTTAAAAATGAGGCAGGTGTTTTTAACTGTTTTTATTCATCCTTTAGAGATATCAATAGGTAATGAGAAGTGTTGGAATGAATAAAATGCCACATCACCATTATCAATTACAGCCCAATGTACTGGTACTTTATCTTTCAAATAACATTGATTTATAGTTATTAAACTAGGAGGTTCATCACAACTTCTGAAATATTAAATATAAAACATCTAGAAAGGCTTCTTCAAATTATTGTATGGTACTGTCATATCATTATGGTCTGGTGATTCAGATATTTCTGTTTACTATGCCAAGGCAATCAATCAACTTATGAACTTAAGGTTCATAACTTAAGGACAAAACACCAACATTACATGTACTTTCAATTTTTGTTATTTCTTTAAAGTGCATAGTGTATAGAACACAATCTTTTGGACAGACCTATACTGAACTTAACACAGATAGCATGTGATATCATATCATTTGATATCCTATGAGTCATGAGACAGTATACCCACAGTATTATGATAAACCAAATATAGTATCAAATCCTACAGAACATGGATATCGTTTATAGATAGTTCCTACCTTGTAACACAAACTCTATGATTTGGTCTACCAGGATCTGACTTTTTAAACTGAGCATTTGGTAAATAAACATCAAATGAGATTTTTGTTGTGTTTAAATTTTCATCAGATGAGTTTTCACTGAAAAATTACAAAAATGAAAAATAAAGTTAAAAGCCATGGTTTGCAAGGGGTTGATTTGTACCAAAAAAAAACACATAATTCCTTCAAAAATGTTCCAAGCAAGAAATATCACATTTATATCTTATAACAGTGTCTCAAGAAAAGACTTTCAAACATGGATAATTCTGGACACACATGGATTTGAATTTCAATAATGAACTGTGAGCACTATTACTGATTAGAGCCAAATAATTCCCGTTTCTAAGGTACGATTGATCCAGCGTATGGCAAACTTGTCACTTTAAAGCAAAGTTTAAAGGTATTCTGGACCAGGGATCTTATTCTGGAAAACTTAACTTAAGATGAATTAGTGCAATCATCTGATTGGTCAATTGCTAAAATTGATTTTAAATTTTGTTTTATTATCCAATCAGATTAATATATTTCTTAAAATCTGTATTTTATGTTATTTTAGATTTCAAGAATAAGTCACTAATTCTTATTTTTTATATCAATATTGATATCACAATATAAGTACCTTTCATCATCCACTTCATTTATTAGTTTTATAATTTGTAACTTATTCAGTATATTGGCTGAAAAAAATTGAGTAAGTTAGTATTATCGAAAATAGATTATCATACATCTAGAAGTAATTTAATTAGGTGAATCATCTCATCTTAAAACAACAGTTTCAATATATATATATATATATCTAAACATTTTTCTTCTGCACCTGGTGAGACAAATGAAGATGGATATAGTCCTGCAATGTGCAATGAGGAAAATTTGGCCAGGACAGAAGCATTCATTTGGCCTATTCTTTGCGATGTCCATTTGTCAACCATGTTTATGTGTAGATGCTGTTTCCATGTCAGCTCCTCAACACAACTGGGAAGAAAAATCTGAAGGCAATATTTCCAACTTAAACCACAATCAAAATAAAAGTATGAAATCGAGATGATGAAAAAGTTTACCTGTAGTTGTAACATCTGTTGGTCTTAACACAGGAGTTACTTCCCCCTTCCACAATTCTGAAGCTGGTGAATGTTCTTGCAAATTTTTCACAATTTCACTTTGTTTTTGTTTAAAATCTTTCCAATTACTTGCATGTATCTCAGTTTTTGACTTGAGCCATTCATGTTGTGAGAATTCTAAGTTTGTATCAAAAAGGCTAGATGGTGTTGACTTTTTAGTTTGGTTGAGGTAATTCTTCACATCAAAATGGCCACATTGAGGAGTTACATTGGGAGGTAGAAACTTGTCATTAGGTTTGTCTAAAACAAGTTGATCACAGTTAGCAATGCTAGGAAAATTGAGCTCTGAAAAATTCCAGTTCTTAGTTCTTGATTTCTGAAGTGTATTTGTTGAAGAACAGTTTGAAACATCACAATCCTTAGAATCAGACTTAACATTTTGACCTAAAGATGAAGTCTGCACAATTTCTGAATTATCACAATTATCCACATTCAAACAAGATTCTTCTAAAGTCTGCTCCATGTCTGAACTGCTATTTTCTAAATTATTAGAATTGTTTTGCACAGTTTCTGTCTTTCGTAGTTTGTTTTGTGAACAATCATCAGTCTGTCCATTTTCTAATTTTGGTTCCTTTACTTTCTTCTTTCTTTTTCTTTTGGATTTTTTAACATGATCTGTTAGTTTAATTGACAACTCATAGTCTGTAGGTCTGAAAGGAGGATCAAATGAATGCATCAAATGTGTACTTGCTTATGGATATAGGCTTATTTTTCGGAAAATCCAAAATGAAGTCAATATTTCCATTGAACAAAACAAAAATTGCTAATTAATTTTTCAAACAAAACATGTTCACAGGCATCTAATGTCATTCTATACTTACAAAGGTTCATGACGTCTGACTAGGTAACCATGACGACGTAGATGACAATATATTTGATATTCTTCCAGTTTAAAACTATCACTGATAAATTCATTGTAAGCTTCTTGTATACTCAATGGTAACTCATTAAAACTAACTTCCATTAAATTCTACAAACAGTGAAAATAGAGCTGAAATTTAGATGTCCTTTTAAAGGGGAATTCCACTTTTTGGAAAACATTTCTATGATCAAAAACGTCAATTATTACACCAGAATACATTCTTAAAGTATGTTATTTATATCTAAGTATCTACTTGATCAAACTGAATTTCTTTTAAAAGGGTTAATTAAAAGTAGGGAGTACTAATTGTTAAATAAGCAGATTGACCCTGTTTTTGTTTTATAATGGTTCAATATTATTAGTTTGTGTCATCTGAATACCTACTGCTTCCATTAAAAACAATGCTTCTTCAGGATACAACCATTTTCTATGTTTATCAACAAAACCCATGTTACTCCAGAATTTTCCCTGAAATAAATAGATCTATCATAGCAGACTGAAAACAGGATATGTTTTTCCTTTCATGTTCACTAATCTTAGTTATGTGTCTTTTGTTATAAACAATGTATGAAGCAGTAAACTATACATAAATATGATGTCCTTTGAGAGTAAAAATCAGAGTCAGTCAGTGAATAGTTTCACCAAAAATTAAAGATGGTTTCTGCTGAAATGGGCAATTATTTAAGCGGTTTCAATTTTTTTTTTATAACTGTAACTCTAAAAAATCTGAATTTTATCATTTTAAAGTTAATATAGATTATAATGTTACTTCAAGATGGTATGTTTTGTTTTTAAAAGTCAAGCTAATAATGTTACTTATTATCTTATTATACCACTGAATGCCTATATATATATAAAAAAAAACTAGAGCAATACAAGAGCTGCTCAATATTTCTATTAATATACCATTTCTTTCTCAAATTCAACTAATTTCAACTGTGGATTCCATTTCCCTCTCACCAAATTCCCACTGAAATACACAATATATTGATATCAACTTATTAATAAAATGTTTAGAACTCATGTATAATGTACTCTCCATAACCTCGTAATAGTATTAGAAAATTTTTCTACAAATTCAACCTATAATGGCCGATTTCCATCAAATATTATCTATAATTTGTAAATTGATTTGAATTCATGTTTGCTGATGTTCTAGAAAGTAGATTTTTCAATGAATAGAATAATATTTTATATTATTTCATGTGCTTAATTACTGCATTAAAAAACATACTACTTCTCTGTCCTTTCTTCTGCCAGTAAATCATTATGTGTATCATAGAAAACTGACAATCTTTTAGTTTGCATCCATGATCCATCTTTATCAAAATCTTTATGACCACCTTTAACGGGCACACTATGATCAACAGTTGAATGTTGTTTTAATAACTCACTTCCACTGAAATGATATTATTTCACATTAAGATAGAGTGAAAACATTGACATAGGAAGTTTCATTAACAGTATGTCTTTGTTTTTGTTTATTATGTTAAATATAATACTGACATAACATTAGGCTAGATCTATTCAAAATATTGTAATTGATTAGGCCTACAGCTGATTAGCCTAAGAGCTAAGACCTACAGATGATTACAAATGGGCTTACACAGATAACAACTGCCACAGAGGCCAGGTTATGATCCATCCACAGTTCCAGAAAGTTCATTCTTTACTGAGATATTAATTTGGGTTTGTTTGGATTAGAAACAATTGAATAAGATCAGATCTATACATGTGGTAAAATTCAATGGGCTTCGCCTTCGGTTGTGAAAACTAGTAAAAGTGACGATAATAATGCAAATTGACAAGATAATTTTTTAAATAAAGGATTGGCAATGTCATAAAACGATTACAATAGTTAGATTCGGATTTATGTCACATTTCACCTCAAAATATTTCCTTCCTCCATTCCTGTAAATAGTGTAAAATGCGTTAAAACATCATTTTTAGTTAGGCCTTAGTCCCGTTAGTGTTTTCATTCATGGGGGCAGACATGTTGAAGGCACGCAGAAAATTGATCTGCGCATGCGTATTTCATTAGTTTACAAATGGTGGAATGTTGTTGCAGATTATAAACAAATGTCAACAATAATGTTTTTTTCCAAAATATGATAACTTATTGACAAAATGATCGTTGTAGTAACACCCCCTTGATAAGTTTTAGCATGGATCGTAAGTTTAGAATCACATAGTTCTCAGAATGTTTAAAAATCTAATCGGAATAGATCTAACAATTTTTTTATTTCATGAAAAAGAATTTAAAAAATGCCAAATGGTCAAAGAGAAGGAATTATTGGCCTGGACGAGATTAGTAGAGACATGCCGAGCATTATCTCTAGTTTCGAGTTGTACTTATGGGTTTGATGCAAAGAATACAACTTAACAACCTTACCCTTACCAGATGAAAATCATTTAATTTCTGTTGTGGTCATGGAACACAGCCTCAGCCAAAGCTGAGTTGAAGTTGATCAAGATATTATTGACAAGGCATTCTTTGATTTTTGAGTAATGTCCACAATGCAGGAGCTTTTACATACCATACATAAGTTAACATTCAATGCTATCATAAATGACTATTACCGGTATAATGTTTCAAAGTTAAGGAGAATGTAAAAAGTTTTTCTTAATTTTTTATGTGTATCGGGGAAACTGATAGCATCAAGTTGCACCATTCCCATTTTTGTGGTTTCTGCAATTCCACTATAACTAAGTTTTTAATGACCTCACTATATGCATTATCACAGAAGGAATCCACAATTAGCATAGTTTTAGTGGAATTGCAGGAAACACAGACGTTTGATAGAAAATTGGAATGGAGATGCTATCAATGTCACCAATACACATAAAAAATCTAGAAAACCCCTTTACAATCATTTTAAGCGTACAACCTTTGCAAAGAAGATTATTTTATAGATCGTGATGATTACAGATTTCTTTTTTAAATTTTCAATTCAATTTTTGACTTTTTTCAGGTAGCAAATACAGTACTGTTAATAAAAAGACTGATGGAAAGATATCAGCAAGGGTAAATTTTCTATTGATTGTCTTATTGATTTCAAACTAAATCAATACCAATGAATATTGACATATAACCTGTAATGTGTTATTCCAATATGTGTTCTATGCAATTAAGACAGCTGGACTATTTCAGCCTCTGTCCTTGTTGAACCTTGATAAGTAATGCTGTCACAATCTGATAAAATTCAAGATGTTTTGTTTTTGCATGTGAACTTAGAATGTAACCTTTGCAGAAAAAGGTCTATCAGATCTAGATTTGTATTTGAATCATATTGATGCACCCTGCCTTGACTATATGAATAGGCAAGACAAGACTATATTTCATTCTTAGGATCATTCAAATATTCTCAGTTTAAATGCCGTTTCATTTTGTATAACAAAGAAAGAAGTGGGGGTGTTCAAGTTTAGATTTGTCATTGATCCCATTGGAAAGTTTGCAATCTGATAATCCAATGGAGTTAAATGGGGGGCCTATTGGCTGTAGACTGTGTTAGGTCCGGGTTGGTGCCGAGTTGGTTGATTATTAAGTAGTCGGGATTTCAACTGGAGTGTCTCGGTAAATGGAAGTGAGAGGCGACTGGTGTGTCCCTCTTAGAATAGATAGGTTCACTTCTTTAGCATTAGCTTTGGCAGACTTGGTTGGTGGAAAAGTAGACTCTTTGTCTTTTAGCCGACAGATTTTTCTTCTTTTAAAAGGGGATCACGAATGCCCGCGGGGGTCACGAAATTAGCCATAACTGGGTTGTTTCAATTTACTATTTTCAGACTGCTGCCTTTATGGAAGATGTCTTACCTGGATATGAGGAATATCTCCTTTTACTTCAAGAAAAAAATAGGTAAGCTGAAGCTTTTACAGTATGTTCTTATTTATTTCTTAATTAGTTCTGCCATATATATTTAACATAAATTCAGATCACAGGACAAAATTTGTAATTAACTCTGCAAGTTTTTTTTTGAAATTTACATTGATGTCTATGTCTGTAGATGATTTGATTTGTATTGTTATTTTCCAATATTTAGATTAGTTAAGAAACTACGAAAGAAAGATAAAAAACAAGTAGAATTAGAAAGAAAAGAACAGGGATTTTCTCTGTATGTTAATGGTGCCAATGCTGAATTAAAGCCTGATGTTTCTCCTGATACTGATTCCAGTAAATCTAAAAATAAATTACCAAAAACTGCAGGAGGTAAGACATCTTTTATTTAGCGCTATGGGAAAATACATCTTCATTAGCCCACATGGTTCAGAAAAGTATGATGTAAAACTCCATTCATTTCATTTCATTTTCAATGCGATAATGACAGTCACCAAATTTTGTTTATATCTCTATGTCGTTTGAGGCTTGCTGGAAGTCTGTTTGTTTAAAAAATACTATTTCTTACAAAAATGATATTAAAAGTACTGGTATATAATAATGTGAACTACTGAAAAATTCAAATGATTTATAAACTTTTTAGAAATGTTTATAACCATTAATCAAAAAAAGGGAATTCTTACTTTTATTTCAGAACTAAGAAGACCGAATGGTCCATTAACACACAGAGATTTAGAAAATATGGCTAGAGAAGAAAGAGAGAGAATGAGAGAAAAACAACGAGCTAAAACAGCCCCTAGTAAAACACGCAGGAAGAATTGGAATGTGGAGTCTATTGAAGTAACCACTGATAGAGGTATGCAGAGAAGAATTCATGCTCCAGGTAAATTGTGATTCCTCTTTTAAAGTTTTAGATCCTAAATGTACTTGATTCGCTATGGTTCAGCAGACTCAATGAATTATAATTATTCCACCTGGTTTTCTCTTGACAGTGTTGAAGGTCAAAGGACTTGAAATGAAAAGGTGTCTATCGAGTAGATTTGTTCAATTTGCTGCACTTCAAAGATCCTTAAACAGTTGGAAACCAAAGTCCAAGTTGGCTTAGAACTGAAGATGGATTTATATAAAGAAAATATAACATAAGCTAACACTCCATATTTTTCCTCCAGAAATATTAACAGGAAGATATGATGAGGATTTTGAGTCTGATGATGATGATGACAGTGATATAGAAGTAGATGCCAGTAATCATACCAGACCTTTATCACCTAAAAAACATAGCTATATCAAGAAAAAAGCTGATGAATATAGACAAGATGTGAAGGATAACAGAATGACCTTGAAAATCAGTGATGTCAAGGTCAGTTTTTTTTTGGTTATAAAAAAAGGTGTTTCAAATACAACAATTTCATTGCTATTTTCATAATGATCAAAGCAAATACAGCTAACATTCAGATGAAAACATAATTTTTGATTTGTTGTATTTTGTCAAGGGGCATGAAGTAGATGAACTTATTAAATTGATTCTCTTTAAGTATTGAAAATGGTTAAATTTACACTTAAAACACATTTTAATCATGGATAAATGTCTGGATATTAGCTAAAATAGAAAACTCTAGTTTATATCTAAGGTTTGATACATAAGCTTATTAAATCAAGGAAAAACAGCCCCAATGGCTTAATTTAATTTTTATTCAATTTGACAACTAAGCAATCAATGATTCTGATTGGGTAAATATATAATTGGTTTGCTGTAGCAAGGAATGAACTTTGGCTTTAGATTTATAAGATTACTGCTTTGTTAACCTTTCTTTCAGTCTACTTTCATTTTTGAAACTTAAACATATCAATATTAATAGTTTCATATACTTGTAGTTAATATAAATTGGAAATATTAAATATCGGTAATCTATTTGTCTCAGTTAGGATTAGGGTAGTGATCATCTACAAACAGATTAACAGTTAGCTAATAAATTAGGATTATCAGATTAGTATAATGAATACAATCATGTCAAAAGCTTTTATTCTTTAACTTACTTTTATGTAAAGCAGATCTATTATTTTAAAAGTCATGACAAGTAAAGTAACCATGAAGCCTTCTCTTTCAAAATGTGTAAGTTTCTGACAGATTTCTTGCATTCTTTTCACCATTAATATTAAACTAAAAATATTTCCGTTTCTGTAAATTATTGTTAGCCGTCATGGAAGTGCATTTACCAGCTAATAGATATTAACTTTAGCTATTTGAATCAATTATAAGAATGAAAATCAGATGTGTTATCTACGACCTTAAAATAAACTTCAATGTTAGACAGAACTAGCTAATAACAAATAAAATTCATTTTGAATTCAATTGACGTAATTTCCCAATTTAAGTTTGATTTTAATTAAAAAGTAAACATTGTTGTAAGATGTAGAAGTAACTCATACTAAATACTGTTAAAATGCCAAATATATGCTATTGAATAAACTTAATATCTTTTCCATGTGAAAGGTTGTAAAGAAGTTTTCTAGGCTTTTTATGCATAAGCTTATCTTGGCCAACTACGGCTTCTATTTCTATCATTCCAATTGTCCATCAGATAACTGTGGTTCCTGTAATTATGTAAATATTTTGTACAATTTGAGTCCCCCTATGATTGAAATGAAATATTGTTTATGTTACAGAGATTGAGACAGAGTTTAGAAATGAACAAGAGTATAAGACAGAGTCTAGCTCTAGAAGTCAGCTCAGTATGTAATATTTTATTTCTTATTTAATGGAATTAAATGTGACATTGTGGGTCAATAAACAGGCTAATTTATATCATAGTCAGACAGAAGATAAAAAATGAATAAAATGTAAAATGAAACTGCTGCTATCAAGTGATTTTCATTGAAAAAGCTTTCACTTGATAAGTTGCTATTGGTTGAAAGCCGACACTAAGCTGACTCTCCATAGTGAGTCCTGAAATGGATGCTTCTTTTATTTTGTTTTAGTTAATGCAGCATCATTCATTAAGTTACAGTACCTTTACCTTATGTCTTAGATGATATCACAGTTAATTTTGTATGTGATGTTAATAGCCAAACTCAAAATAAATCTTTTCTCCAAATTTAGTCTGTCCAATACATGTATATTGTTACATAGGTCAATGAAAGTAAAGAAGATAGTATTTTAGAAGAAATTCAGGTTTTTAAGTTAGATAGTTGACCTTTTAAATTGCATGACTTAATTATCTTGGAATATTTTATACGGCTTGGTTTTATAAAAGATTTATAATGCATGAATTTAAATATCATTGCCTCTTGACTGTTTGATTTGTTCTGCAGCAAAGTAACTCAATCTTATAGTTTAATATTTCTATATAATTCATCCTGAGATCTGTAACAGCATGCAAATTATTCTATCCAAATACAGTATCCATATATTTCAAAACTGTTCTTCTATTAAAATGATTTGCTATTCTATAGTAATACCCATATATTTTAAAAACAGTTCTTTAAACAAACGATCCGAACTTGACTCGAAGTGTAGACATGAGAATTAAGTTCTACTTATCCAACTTATTACATGTATAAGCTTATAGGTCAGTTGTCTGAAGATGGCATAGCGTTAAGCTCTGAGTAACAACAAAATGTTTTTTAAGGTTCTGTTTTGATATTTCTATTTCTATTTTAAAAACAGCATAAATGGTTGTATGTATTGTAAGAAAATTATTTGAACATTCATGATCTATACCATTATCATCAGATGACAAAATATGTGAATTGTGTTGAAATGTTATATATATTGTTATTAAAGAAATGAGTCATACAATAATATATTAGTTTGTGTTTTTATTTTATTTTTTGCCTTTGTTATACCAGTTGGTTTAAACAATGGCATGTAGATTACAATGGGATAGGTTTGAATAAGAAAAAAATTCGTCTATATTCCAGGATGAGTCAGGAGATGAATTAGCACCTACTATACAAGAAGAATCAGAAGAAGAAGAAGTAGAAGAAGATATTATACAATCTATAGATAAATCTAATCTAAATAATTCATCATTTAATAAAAAACCTAACCCTTTTAAACCTGGTGAAATGATAGTGCTAGAATTTGCTCCCAGTGTCAAAAGTAAGTATGGAACAAAAAAATATGCAGAAGAAGAAACATCTCCCTGAAGAATAAGGTGTTTTTTTCCCCAATTTAACAGTTTTGCAGTCATATCACTTTATGTTGCTACAAAGACTGTTGATTTGGTCAAAAACTGAGGACTGGTGTGATACGTGCTATGCACATTAAAGACCACATGACAGTTTTGAAAGAGTACCTTTTTGGCATTAATTTCTGAGCAAAAGTTTCCTCTTTTCACGCTTCATGCTGTGACCTGTCATATTGTTTTCCTTATTAGCTGATGAATCTTTACTTCAATCTGTATTAAATCAAAAATGTATGACTTGAAAATATTGTAAGACATTATCAATTGTTAATATAATATGCTTATCTTTATTTCCCTATAGAAAGAGAAGAGAGAAGTTTGTCTACTGTCAAAAGAAAGAGTACTGATTCATTGTTATCAGCCCGTAGATCATCTGATAAATTAATATCACCTAGATCACAACAACAAGTTATACTCAATGAAACTAAAGAATTACAATCAGGTAAAATACAACTAGATAAATTAATATCACCTAGATCACAACAACAAGTTATACTCAATGAAACTAAAGAATTACAATCAGGTAAAATACAACTAGATAAATTAATATCACCTAGATCACAACAACAAGTTATACTCAATGAAACTAAAGAATTACAATCAGGTAAAATACAACTAGATAAATTAATATCACCTAGATCACAACAACAAGTTATACTCAATGAAACTAAAGAATTACAATCAGGTAAAATACAACTAGATAAATTAATATCACCTAGATCACAACAACAAGTTATACTCAATGAAACTAAAGAATTACAATCAGGTAAAATACAACTAGATAAATTAATATCACCTAGATCACAACAACAAGTTATACTCAATGAAACTAAAGAATTACAATCAGGTAAAATACAACTAGATAAATTAATATCACCTAGATCACAACAACAAGTTATACTCAATGAAACTAAAGAATTACAATCAGGTAAAATACAACTAGATAAATTAATATCACCTAGATCACAACAACAAGTTATACTCAATGAAACTAAAGAATTACAATCAGGTAAAATACAACTAGATAAATTAATATCACCTAGATCACAACAACAAGTTATACTCAATGAAACTAAAGAATTACAATCAGGTAAAATACAACTAGATAAATTAATATCACCTAGATCACAACAACAAGTTATACTCAATGAAACTAAAGAATTACAATCAGGTAAAATACAACTAGATAAATTAATATCACCTAGATCACAACAACAAGTTATACTCAATGAAACTAAAGAATTACAATCAGGTAAAATACAACTAGATAAATTAATATCACCTAGATCACAACAACAAGTTATACTCAATGAAACTAAAGAATTACAATCAGGTAAAATACAACTAGATAAATTAATATCACCTAGATCACAACAACAAGTTATACTCAATGAAACTAAAGAATTACAATCAGGTAAAATACAACTAGATAAATTAATATCACCTAGATCACAACAACAAGTTATACTCAATGAAACTAAAGAATTACAATCAGGTAAAATACAACTAGATAAATTAATATCACCTAGATCACAACAACAAGTTATACTCAATGAAACTAAAGAATTACAATCAGGTAACATACAACTAGATAAATTAATATTACCTAGATCACAACAACATGTTAACTCAATAAAATATATATTTATTCCACCTAGATCACAGTAACAACAACAAATATTGATATTTTCATATTTTGTATTGAAATTTGCTTCCTTAACTTGGTCCATTTTCAATATGATTACTTTAATGTTTTCTGAGCCTTTCAAATTAAATGGCAAATAGGTTCTTGAAAATATTGCAGATGTTATTCTTATAGAATAAAATTCTAATTTGATTTTCTACTATGTATTGTACATCAATAAGTCAAAACAAGCTATGTTATCTATTATCTATTGTTATAGTATCAAGTGGTAAGAGTAAGAAACAGTTAAAGCCACTAGCTGCTAGAAAGAGTAATAGTAATAACAGTTTAAATAAAGACAGTCAAGAAGAAACACAAGCTGTCCTCGCGGCTCTTCAAGCTGAAAATGCTCAAGTTGAAAAATATTCTAAAGAATCAAAGTCAAAATCAAAAACTTCACCAGAAAAGGTATCAATTTATATTTATCATTTATTGAAGATGGGATATTGAGCACATGTATTGACTACATGTAGGCATTTCACACAATTCTAAGGTTGATTTTGTAACTGTCAAATTTTATGGGAGAATTATAAAAAAAATGAGACTATGCATTTAGTAGTACAAATTTATTGTGAAACTGAGTCCAGTTCTGAGTACTATGTATTGTACATCAATAAAAAATAAGCTATGTAATCTATTATCTACTCTGAGTCCAGTTCTGCATTTTAGAGAGGCTGACTTGAAAACGGGATCTTGTCATGAATTATATATTTTTTTGCTATTGGTATCCACATTAATTGCACACTGCATATTTGTTTCTTATGCTCCATGTCATCTTTTTGTGGTTATTAATTCAAAATGAAATGACCTCAGTTTAATGAAACTGTATGATATGTTCTCATTTTTCAGTTGATGTCAAAAACACCACGTGCCTTACAGTCATCTTCGAATTCCTTAAAATCTCCTTCACAAAAACCATCAGCTTCTAGTTCAGATGCCAGTTTAACAGATGATAAAATAAATGATATTGTTGATAAAGTTTTATATATGACACCAAAGTAAGTTATTTTCCTTCTGGCTCCATTAAGTGTGGTATAATCTATAAGCTTACTCTTAATCCAACCAGCTGATAATCTCTTCACTAATTTTATAAACAATGGTACAATTCTGGTTTGTAAAGTTACTAGGGGAGCAACGTTGTGCATCCAAAGATACGATTTATTGCGATAATTATTGCGATTCATTTATTAGAGAAGGAAAGAGAAAAAATAGTAGAAATTTATAAATTACTAACAAGTTTGTCACTATTGAGAACATTTAGAAGTAAGGAATTGTGAAAGAAATCTCAATTTTTAAAGTCAGAAATAAATTTTTGCAAAGTTTGATGTGAAAATCATACTTGGAAAATGAAAACATGACACAATTTCTTATACACACAAGGATTCTGTGTCATTTGTTATTAAAGTGGGCTAAGAATTAATCGTGCCGATACATCACGATTATTTTTATCTAACACAATACATCAATAAGAAGGAAAGAATAGAGGTTCATTGATTCATCAGCAGCCCTAAAATTTACTAATAATGAAACTGAATACTCAATATTAACATTAGATTTTTATACTGTATATTTCAGGCAACAATGTCGTCTGGTGAAACTATTTAGAAAGATAGATGATGATAATGTCAACTCATCTCAGGATAATAATATCCTCAATAAACGGGAACCATTAAAAGCTTTATCACCTATCTCTAGTATGACACAGAATAAACAGGTATTGTTCATATATGTATTTATTGATCGAAGGCTTTTACTTTTTGTTTATCATCAAAATAGAAAAATTCTAATTGGGAATTAATAAGTTTCAATAGCTGCAAATTTGCTAAAGAAAAAATGATGCCAATTGGAAAAGTCCAAAGCATCAGTTTAATCAGTTCAACTGTGTGCTAGAAGCTGTGCATGTTAAAGGTCCTCAGTTAGCAATAGAGAAGAGTAGGTTAATGAGATACATTTGTGAAACATTTTGTAATATAATGTCTCAAACTTGTTTGAATATGGAATATGTATCATATGGATTACCATGTCTATCTTTATGATATATATTTTGTAGAGTTCACAAACAGAAATTGAAGTGAATATAGAAGTCTTATCTAACTGGGGTCATCCTTCAAGATTAGGATTAACAGAAATCCAGTTTTATAATAAAGAGAAACAGTTATTACCAGTTGATACATCATCAGTTAAGTTACATGGTGTACAACAAGCTCATGCTCCTATAGATGTCTTATTTAATGGTAAAACTAAGGTAGGGATGTTTTATAATAAAGATACATCAGTTGATACATCATCAGTAGATGTCTTATTTAATGGTAAAACTAAGGTAGGGATGTTTTATAATAAAGATACATCAGTTGATACATCATCAGTAGATGTCTTATTTAATGGTAAAACTAAGGTAGGGATGTTTTATAATAAAGATACATCAGTTGATACATCATCAGTAGATGTCTTATTTAATGGTAAAACTAAGGTAGGGATGTTTTATAATAAAGATACATCAGTTGATACATCATCAGTAGATGTCTTATTTAATGGTAAAACTAAGGTAGACAGATTTTGAAAAATAAAGTATTTGTTTACTAATTAGCCAGTGTAAATACTACTATAATAATACTTAACATTGGCTCTTTTTTTAAAGATGATGTACATGTAAGATTTTCTTTTTATTATAAATTATGTTGATAATTTCAAAATCTCTAAACAGATATAGTGACCAAATATTTCTTTACCAGCTGACAAGAGCCTAATTTAATTATATTTTGTATAATGACTATTTCAGACTACTAAAGAAAGATATATGTGGGTATGTGATTTCTCAGGTAAAAGATTAGAGTTTGTGATTAATTTAAATAATCCTGAACCAGATAAACCATTTGAACTCTCTGTTATTAAAGTATGGAATTGGAATAAAAGCATCAATGTAAGTATCTCTATTCTTTCACTATAAATGAATTATACCCCACTGCAATCTGATGAAATTAACAGACTTGGAAGGAAAGCCATCTTAAAAGCTTATATACTGTAGAGTAGCTTGAATAACTGAAGCCAGATGCACTGGCAAAAAGGACAAACAACATTATTAGTAATATCATATTAGCTTTGCTAAGTCTAGTTTTTGTTCTCTGTTTGGTTTAAAATGTCAGTTGACTTTAGCCTAGTTAAGTTTGTAAGTAAAATGTCTTCATTTGTGTGGTAAACACCGAGCACAAAAACCACAAAATCAGTTTCAAAATGCTACTCTTAGTTGGATTCTATATTGTATGAGATCTCTGTTTGTTTTCAGTGTATATATTGGTAATATAAGTGTTTTATGTTACAGGGGTTAGATATGGGAGCTAAACATGTTCGTGTATTTGTTGGTGGAGAGTTAGTATTTGATGGTGATTTAGATAAAGGTTGTGGTAACCATATCTATGACTATAGTACATCAATAAATATTAAAAACAATTTACATGTTATGGATAATGGTGGTAATAAAATTCCATCTAGTTCTCATCATACATTCCGTAGCATCAGTCGTTCATCATTATCATCAGCATCATCATCTAGTTCATCTCGTCCAGTCTCAGCTACAACCCAACAACTCCCTCTAACACCAAGTAGTCCAAAACGAAGTCGAACTAGAACTGTTATGAATAGTGATACCAGTTTAAACCATCCTGTTATTGAGAGTGATGATGATTCAAGTCCTGATTCTGATAATATTGCAAAAAGTAAGAAAGTTATTGATATACAATATTATGTTCTGTGCCAAGCTTTTAGACAAATTTGTATTGCCACATCTTTTAACGAGAATTAAAGCTAGATAGGGATTGTTGTCAAGGAATTTTACTTCAGAAGTAGCTGAAGTCTTTTCTTGCTGGCTCCACTTTTTTTTTAGATGGCTATGCCACAAATTCATATCCACTGACAAAACACGGAGTTTAATAAAAATGCATTTGCAAAAAAGGAAATCTGTGAACACACTACTCCTCGAAAGTGCTTCTGGGAAGTTTGGTGCCAATGATCATGAATTATTTCCAAGCATGTTGGGATTTTATTCAGAGCTTTTTGTTTTGATATATTTCAGATTCAAATAAACTACCTGATCAACCTATATGTCATACACCAAGAAAATCTAAACGTTTAGTAGCTAGATTAGATGGTCATTCATCAGAAACAGAATCATCTAAATCTATTACTGACAGGTATTTATTATTATACATATATCAATTGCTGACAACTATTTGTATGGTATTCTTGCAAGTTAGTTGTAAATGGCTGATTGTAATTAGAATCATGTTCACTTAACCAAGGCCTAGTTGTTTGATTTAGGTTACCATAACCTATGTTGCAGATTGCTGATTGATCAAAATTACCATTGTCACTCATTTGAAATCTTCTAAGCGGTTAAACTATATCACTTACTTTAGCTAAACAGTTGATGCTTTTGCCAGAAACACATTGTATCACATGCATTATTTTGTATTCACAGTAATGATAAGAAACCTCCCTTACCAAGTACCACTAGATCTAATACCAGTCTGGCTGGTAGTACCGATATTAGACAATCTAAATCTCATCAGAAACCACCAACACCTAGATCTTCACAACAATTACCATCACCTAGATCTTCACTACAACCACCTTCACCTAGGTTATCACAACAACCATCACCTAGAGTATCCAATACCAAACCACCTAGCTTGAGTATTAACCAAGATGATTTTGAACCACAAGATGTGACCATGTTACAAAAAATTAAAGACATGAAGCTAAGGTAAAATAAGATTTAAATTTCGACGGTGAGCTTTGAACGCTATTACTGATTGGCTCCACTAAAAAAATTCCAATTTCTGAGACTAAAGTATAATCGGTAAAATAAAATGCTGCACCAGTCCCTTTAATATTCCTATTTTATATTAAAGTCAAATATACGTACCAAATACGTATAAAATATTTTGGCAGCATATCTTTAATTTATTTCAATGTCTTTAGTTTAGAAAATGAATCACAGTCATCAAGTGAAGAAAATAATGTTCCATTTATTGCATGGCATCTTACTCCAAGTCAAAAGTATATTATTTTTATTTGAGCATTATTAAGACTAAACATCACATGGTTTGTTTTTTTGAAGCACCTGTACACAATCATTTCATCATTCACTCATCTTTCTGTTTTATTTTATCACACATCAATTACTGTTTATTAGGCATGTATATTACCTTATTGTATTTAAATATAATGGATTATTTTGGAGAATTGGAATAGTGAAATAAGGAAAATATATTTTTGGTGTTTTAGGGAAGAACCAAGAAGAAAAGATATTCCTAAATGGCTCAGTAAAGATGATTTTAATGGTAAGAGACGTGATATTTTTCTGAATTTTCAACATATGTTTTGCTATTTTATGCAATGCATAGATTTTTTTAGGACTTTTTGAGACATTTACATCAGAGGAATTGTTGATTTGCATGCATCATTTGATATTTTGATGTTTAATAGTAATTTTTATGTTACATTTGAAATGAGTCATATTTTGTCTGTAACTAAGCATGTAACACATATACAATATACTATATACCTTTTTTCCAGCTGATCGTTTTGAAGGCCCACCAGAAAGTCGTGGTAATAGTAGAAACCAACATCGAAATGAAACTAGTAGTGATAGATTATTAAGTAAAAATAAAAAAGAAGATGGACATGTTGATGATTTGATTAATGAATTAGATGATGTCTTATCTCCTTTTACATCTAATAGGTAATATTTCATGTTTTTCATTAGAATAGGTAATATTTCAGTTCTTCCAACAAAATAGGTAATATTTCAATTCTTCCATCAAAATAGGTAATATTTCAGTTATTTCCCATAGAATAGGTCATATTTCAGTTCTTTCATCAAAATAGATTAATATTTCAGTTATTTCCCATAGAATAGGTCATATTTCAGTTCTTCCATCACAATAGGTCATATTTCAGTTATTTCCCATAGAATAGGTCATATTTCAGTTCTTCCATCAAAATAGGTCATATTTCTGTTATTTCCCTTTAGAATAAGTCATATTTCAGTTCTTCCCTCAAAATACGTCATATTTCAGTTCTTCCCTCCAGATAGGTAATATTTCAGTTCTTCCATCAAAATACGTCATATTTCGGTTCTTCCCTCAAAATAGGTCATATTTCAGTTCTTCTCTCAAAATAGGTCATATTTCAGTTCTTCCCTCAAAATAGGTCATATTTCAGTTCTTCTCTCAAAATAGGTCATATTTCAGTTCTTCCCTCAAAATAGGTCATATTTCAGTTCTTCTCTCAAAATAGGTCATATTTCAGTTCGTCCATCAAAATAGGTCATATTTCAGTTTTTCTATCCTTATAGGTCATGTTTCAGTTCTTAACACTGACACTGGAGGTTATATTGAACTTGTTTTAATCAGATGAGTAATATTTCATATTCAGAGCATATGTCAGATAATGACAAATGTTATCTTCATTGAACATAAATCATAAACAAATGACTATTTCAGTGCTAATGATAAAAAATCATCAAAATCCAATCAGAAAGATAAAGATGAGTTTGAGGATTTGGAAGAAACACCAATGGAAAGGATACAGAAAAACAGATCCAAATGGAGAGAAGCTAATCTAGAAGAATCTTGGGGATCTTTGTCGTTTTTCAATAGGTCACAAAGAGGTCGTATATCTATGGATATGGCAGGTAAGGGGTTAGAATAGTTTTGCTATTACATCTGAGTAGATTTTCTAATGTTTTCGTGTAAAGAAAACCGGGTGGAAAAATATAGTTACCTGACGCATTGAGTTAAACAAGAAAAAGATTGAAACTTAATATATTTTACAAATAGTTAACTTTACCTTTTCAATATTAATGACTACTCATATCACATACATTTTTGATATATATTTCCAATACAGCCTGTGAAGCTGCCATTATCAAGTTATATCACATTTACATCATACACTTTAAGACATATCACTTTGCATTCAGGGTTGAAATTTCAGTAAACATAAACTGGAAAACTGAAGAAAGAGAATAATGCAAAAAGGCAAATGACATCCTATAATTCAATGCACTTTCAACCAAGCTACACCCACACATTCATATAATCAATGATTAATATTTCAGATGATGCATTAGATGAATACTTACCATCCAGTAGAAAACCATTAGTAAAAGAAGAAACTATAGAAGAAGAATATATTATTAATGATAATAATGAAGATAATTTTACTATACCAGAGTTACCTTATGGTCGTCAACTAACAATAGATATTAAAACAACCTGGGGTGATCATCATTATGTAGGTTTAACAGGTGTTGAAGTTTTCTCCAGTATGGGTGAACAGGTTCAGATAACAAAGGTAGGTCTATGTAATGGTTTTTATGAAGAGTAATGTTTTTGTATGATTTGAAATTTCTCTTTCTTTCTAATCTTTCCCTGACAGAACAGGTAAGAGCTATCGTCATCTTTGTATTGATTGGACAAAATCAAATTTCACCTTGGTATTGATTGTACTAAACCAAATTTCACCTTTATATTGATTGGACTGAATCAAAAATTTCACCTTTGTATGACTAAATCAAATTTCACCTTGTTATTGATTGTACTAAGTAAAATTTCACCTTGGTATTGATTGGACAAAATCAAATTTCAGCTTGGTATTGATTGTACTAAACCAAATTTCACCTTTATATTGATTGGACTGAATCAAAAATTTCACCTTTGTATGACTAAATCAAATTTCACCTTGTTATTGATTGTACTAAGTAAAATTTCACCTTGGTATTGATTGGACAAAATCAAATTTCACCTTGGTATTGATCGGACTAAATCAAATTTCACCTTGGTATTGATCGGACTAAATCAAATTTCACCTTGGTGTTGATCGGACTAAATCAAATTTCACCATGGTATTGATCTGATGATGCACTAGTCTCTCCTAAGTCTAGTCTAACTTAGTAAATCATATAAACCAAGACACTGAATGTGTTTTTAAGGCCATTAAGGTGATGAGCATCACTGGTGTTTTAGTAAATCATAAAGATAATTTGAAATCTATTGTAGGTGACAGCTGATCCATTAGATATTAACATTCTACCAGAATATAGTAAAGATCCTAGAGTTGTCAATAATATTATAGATGGTTGTAATAGAACTAGAGATGATGTTCATATGTGGTTGACACCATTTACAGCTGGTTCACATCATTATGTTTACTTGACATTGTGTAAACCATGTCAGATAGCTATGATCAGAGTGTGGGTAAGCAAATTAAATTTTACTCCATTTAACCCATTGATATACTGGCCACAAAATTATGTGACATATAGACTAGCGACTTAATGACTTAATCATATTTTACAGCTCTGGCATTCAGGGTTAACATGTTTATTTTAAAATCGTGTGATTTATTTTTTCTTTTATTACAATTTGACTCGTTTTATGTTTGTTTTGAAGCAGTACAATTTTTTTTTAATTTTTACCTCTAAAATATGTTTATGAACCGCAAAGCAGAATAGTTAAAGTGAAATGTGCAGAAAATTTGAAATACATTTGCTTTTGCTTTCAGACACATCATACTAGTATGATTATTAAAAGTTTTTTCTTAGAACAAAGAAAATAATGCTGAAATTTCTTGTTTCATATGAAATCTGCCACAAATCCTTTGGCATTTTATTAGGTTAAAGTTGAACTTGTTTGACATTCATTTTTTTTTTTTTGATTTTTACAGAATTATAATAAATCAAGAATACATTCTTATCGTGGTGCTAGAGAAGTTACTATAAAATTAGATAAAAATATTATATTTATTGGTGAGATAGCTAGAGCTTGTGGTGGTATAGAGGGTGGTACAGAATCATTTGGTGATGTAAGTTGTGATGATATAGAAATGAACTATGGGCTATTGTGTGTAACCATGTTCTCCAAATTTGGTTGAAATGCAGAGCTGTCTAAAGTTATCAAAAGCTTTGCTTAAGGTGCCCTCACACAAGATTCGAGATTCGAGTTTCGAGTAATGAAAGTGGTCATGAGTTCCGAGTGCAATTCACTACTTAGTTGCATGGGAGTTTCCATAACCACTCTTCTTATTCGCAACCATACACAACTGGTAATCACTATGGTGTAAGAGCCACTTTTAATTGCATAGTCCCATTGTTAATACTGAATGATAAGACACATTTGAATTACTCACATGTACTTGTGGTTATCTATAAATGATCATCAAAATGTTCGACTGTCGTTGTTTAGACATTCTTATTTGAAAGATGGTAAAAGAAATATCCATCCAAGAAATGAAATTGTATTTTTAGACGATATTATTTACTACTGATGAAGATATATTAGAAGAAGTAAGTAAGAATGATGAAGCGTTTGAAGGTGAACTATTATGCGAGGCAGAAGATGAACATGTACCATATGAACGACCTAGTACTGCTGATGAAAGTGAGGTTAGTTCATCTTTTAATACAATTAGATTAGAAATATGAAGTAATATTGGCGCAAATCAAAGACATATGGATAAATATAAATCGATCTAAAACAACATCTCACTTAATGATTTCCTTTGTGGAGAGTCAACAAAGTTTATAATGAAAGCGATGAGTTTTATTGAAGATCTCTTAGTAATGGAACACTTGCTCAAACAAGCCATATATCTTATTGTTTTTGTTTCATTTTTTTCTGTGGGTATTCTTGACACACATAAAAATGTGGCTGTTTTATATTTACAGGATAGACCACTTACAAGAGCTGTAGGTGTTATACCAAAAGATAGCCAACTCAGACCAGAAACCAGTTTTGTTACAACTATAAATAATGTTACAGCTTATAAAACTAAAAGTAAGAACACCTTATCTAGTGTTTTCTAGTTGGACAATAAAATCTCTCTGGGTGAAACCATTAGGGTATTCATTCTTTGTTTTGATGTTTGTCTTCAAATTGAAAAATGTCTATTTATTAAAGCATTTTTTCTAGCATTTACATTTGGTTTGATCAGATGTATCTCACATCAGACCTGCAGCAATGTGGTGGTGAGGCTCATGTACCTTTCACCTACAGTGTTGAACTATACCAAATACATATGAATAACTATGTGGCCTCTTAGATGTTGAGTTCACAATCCAGATTGCAGAGTGTCTTCAGGTGGTCTAGATAGATGAACATGTCCTGTATCTATAGTACACATGCCGAAGAATATGAAGCCTCTTCATATCAAATAATATGATGAGAGAGTAACAGCTGAAGCATCAATTTTGTTTTATTTCAGATTTGGAATTAAACTTTACAGATACGTGGGGTGATCCTCACTATTTAGGTTTAACTGCTCTAGAAGTTGTAGGTAGAGATGGTGAATCAATACCTATAAAATTATCTATGTTAACAGCTAATCCTAGAGATGTAAGAGTTTTACCTGGACATGATCATGATGCTAGAACTCTTGATAAGTAAGTTTGTTGGCATTTACATTTCTTAACTAAGATAATTTTGGTGTTCATTGATTTGATCGAATAATTACTAATAACAGAATTTATCATAATTATCACAATTTTTAATTTATCTTGGTAAAGCTTTGCGGATACTGATCCAAAGACCATACATGACAAAATTTGTTCAGTTGAAGACACTACTTATCAAAACCCTATAGAAATTCTTAATTCCATAGGTTAGGACCTGAGTGGGATACCAGAACATACAAGGGGTACAGATTGGAAACTTCAATGTTTTAAGTGTTGATGTATGACATCTTTCAACTGTGAAAACAATAAAATGCTCTTGTGTGAAGGACCATACACATCAACCTGTCCATCAGCCCCGTTTGGTTGGGGTCCATAGGGGCTGGGACCCAGCATGTGAGAATTAAGCCCCAGCAAAACCTTCTTCAGTTCAACAGAGATTGATTCATTTACAGTGTCTTTGAACAAAATCAAGAAGAAATGAGTTCTCTGGGCCTAAGTGCAAAATCTGACCCCCTGCATCAATTCATTTCTGGCGACGAGGCTGCTGTCCATGTGGAAGCATCACTGATACTGTTGGTTTTTAATTTTGTATAAGATATGTGAAGGAATACTGAGATCAATTATGTATAAAAAAGGGGTTCCAGGTATTTGACCTTTTCATGCATAATTTTCAGTTCACAATTCATTTAAACTGTCATGGTTTATTTCAGATTAATAGATGGTACCACATTAACAGTAGCAGATGAACATATGTGGCTGGTACCATTTGTAGAAAATAAAAATCACCTATTAACTATAACATTCCCTGAAAAAGTGCTAGTAACTGGATTACGTATCTGGAACTATAATAAAAGTCGTGAAGACACATATCGTGGTGTAAGTTTAATATCTTAATTCTATTCTATATTATAACATATCAGAATAATGTTGTCTTTTTATTAATTGGACACCTCTCACATGACTGTGTCTTGTTTTTGTTTATGTAGAAGGATGGTGTTTATATTACAATAACAAAATATCTTCAGTTTGAAAAGTGCAATTCTAGAGTGAGACTCTGGGTCTGAATCTCTGAATCTGAAACATGTTATTAGTCAGAGTTTCACCTTGCTTGATCTTCAGATAATCAATCTCTTTTAGTTTATAGTTTGACAAGTAAAGTTGAAAGTATTTATTAATTTTAAGATAAAATGACACTGAAGAAGCTTCATAGTTACATTTAAAGAATCTAGTTCAATTGTGATTCTCAATAACTGAATCATTTTTTATAAGCTTACATGTATTAATGAATTATTAAAATGCTATATTTAATTATAGGCTAAAATTGTTCATGTTAAAATTGATGGAAGACAGATATCACCTTCTACAGGTTATTTAATAAGAAAAGGTCCTGGAAGCTGCCATTTTGATTTTGCTCAAGAAATAATTTTTAAATGTAACAATAATAATAATAATGAGAAAGGATTTTCACCAGTAAATCATGCTGGAGGGTAAGCAATTTTTTATTTTGGCTGATCAAATTTAACTAAAAGTGGATTGTTCGACCGAATGAGATAGCATATTGATTTAAGCAACTACCAGAAAGTGATAGCATTTGGGAGAGCTCAAATTGAGCATTACAAATAATTAAAAATTGCAGTTGCTGCTAGTTTTGAAAAAATTGGAAACGATTGTTGATCTGAACAGTTGTTATTAATTGTAATACATATGTCAATATTAACATTAAGCTCATATCAACTGTTTGGGATTGAATGAGATGATGTGGATCACCATGAGACCAGAAACTTCTTTTAAAGTCAAGAATTGCTAATTCAACTTTATAGGTGGAAAAAGGCATATCACCTAAAATACAGTTAATGTACTTTGCTTATCTATATAGACTATATTATTTGAATTATGTTAATTATATTTTAGTGTTGAAACTAGTCATGATTATGAAGCTGTACAGATGCCTTGTGGCTGTATCCTTTATTCTTATATTACTGAATTCATTAGCATTTTATCATGAAAAAAGCAAACAGTAGTATTATTCAATAACATATTAACATGAAAACATTTTTTAACTTTAACCTTGTGTCAGTGCCTTCTGTTGAATAATGACTAGTTGCTTGTCAATAGTACCTGTAACTGGTTTCTTTTCAAGCCCTAACCTCAATATAGTTCATGTTTATCATAATTTTCTTAACTAACATTAGTTATATACCAATTTCAACTATTTACTGCATGGTCTGATCAATATTATATTGGATTAAATGGTTTAGAATTATATGATGAAAATCTTAAACAAATACAACTTACTGAGAATAGTAAGGAATCAGTTTTTTTTTTGTTACCTTTATTGTAGGGCCAATTTCTTACCAATTATGCTTAGCAGAATTAGTATTATAATGCTAATGCCATAAAACAATTTCAAATCACCCAAATATAATTGTTCAACCAATTACTTAGTATATATATAAGCTTATTGGGTATAGGATAGCTTTCAAATATTATAACCTGTACCTAATCACTGTTTATTGATTAAATAGTGAAACCTCTACCATAATGAATTGTTAACTTTAGATTAATTCTTTATCACAGAACATTGTACAACTCAAAATTGATGTTTTGTAGATATATCAGCTCATCCAGTTTGTGTCAATGTATTAGATAATATGGAGAATGATGTTCGAACACCAGATAAATTAATTAATGGTATTAATGATACTAATGATGGTAAAAATACCTGGTTAGCACCAATATTACCTGGACTGGTTAGTATGTTTAGTAATTCTAGTAGCAATGGAGGATCTTAACCATGAGAGACTTTGATTGATAAAAGTTGATGTATCAAATATTACTTGGCTCTTATATTTTTGCTTGGTTTTGAGGAAGGAAGTTGACTTCTATTTAAGCTTTTCTCTGTATTAGTTGCAAAACTGAAACCTCTATTTAGAAGATTGTAGGTTGATTAAGGCTTAAAATGTTTTGATAAGGGAGATTACTCTGCAATTTTTTCCCTTTAATGAATTATTCCCCTTTGACCACCTATAGAAAAATCTTGAATATATATTTTTATTTTTATGTTATTTGCTTACAGTTAAATAGAGTGTATGTGATATTTGATCAACCAACTACTGTATCTATGATAAAGATATGGAATTATAGTAAAACACCCACCAGAGGAGTCAAAGATTTTGCTGTAAGTTGTTTATTTCTTGAATATAAACAAAAACTTTTCTTCAAATTTCAAAACCTATATAAAAATCTCATAAGTCAAATCAGTGGAGCTTCAGGAAAAAACAATGAAAAATGACTAAAATGAAACCTATTGAGTGCTATTATTTTCTCAGTATTAAAAGTTCTAGCCTATAGCATAATGTAAAGAAAATATATTTTTATGATTTTGTAGTTATTAGTAGATGATTTATTAGTATATAATGGTACATTAGAATCAGTAACTCCAGGTGCACGTGGTATCATACCAACATGCTCAATACCACAAAAATATCATACAGTACTATTTACACAGAATCCTGATTTAGTACGCAAAGAAAAACATACTATTATCAAGTAAGATATTATGTAAATTACCTTAGACTTAATTTTAGTCTGAAAATTATTTACTGTTATATTTGAGAAGCATAGTTTTTATTTTCATCCTTGACCCAATATCATACTATTAGGCATTGCACATCAAAGTTCTTTTTTTAAATATTGTTTAATAATTCATGAGCTTAAACCTTTGAACCCTGAGTGTAAATGAAATATTACTTCCTATGCCCTGAACTCCAAGTAATAAAAGTAAACGCTTATGACGAACGTTGTTTGACGTCACTTAGTAATGGCTGGTATACCGGCTGTTCGGGTATATATTGCGTTATGTGCATGGCGGGTAAACCTGCCGCTAGGGTAGAAAGGGTTAAACTGTAGTTAAGTTCTTTGACTGAATGCTGTCATTCCATAATTCAATTGTAGATTATAAATTTGATGTGTTTTATTTTCTAGTAACCAAGCAGGAGAACAAGATGTCCAACTATTAAATGATAAGAAAATTATAACTAAATATACTGACCCTAAAAAAGCACAATCTGGTAAACCTGTAAATCAAGGTTTGTAATTTGTGAATTTTCTGATTTTTTGTAAATGCACCAAAGAACCTCTTTTGAGAATAAAAAACTGATGTGTCTTTTTTTTTTCAGAATTACGACCTAAAACAAGCGTCACTGGTCAAATGAAATTCAGAAGATAGTATTTGTGTCATATTATTAAGTTGAAGGCATTTATATTGATTTAAGTTTTAATTATATATTTGGTTCGAATTTAGTTTTGCCTTCAGTAAAATCCATCCTAGACATTTAAAATTTATATAGTTGAGAACAGTCAAAAATATGTTATTGTGGAATATCCGTCCTAATATTTACTTACATTATATTCTTCATAATTATTATGTATACTGATGCTGTGAAAAATATATTCTATAGTATAATACCGTATATAATGATATGATACTCTCAAATATATGAGAGACATAGACATGTCTGATGACATTTGTTATGAAAATATTGATACTATGAATAATACTTCTATTTTTATACTATGAAACTGTAAAAATCCATCCTCTTTTATTTTGGTATTACTATGAAATATAAATTAATACCGTGAAAATCCATCAAATTTTATTCTGGTATTACTATGAAATATAAATTGATACTGTGAAAAATCCATCCAGTTTCATTTTGATCATTACTATGAAATATAAATTGATACTGTGAAAATCCATCCAATTTTATCTTGGTAATACTATGAAATATAAATTGATACTGTGAAAAATCAATCCAATTTTATTCTGGTATTACTATGAAATATAAATTGATACTGTGAAAAATCCATCCAATTTTATTTTGGTATTACTATGAAATATAATTTGATACTGTGAAAAATCCATCCAATTTTATTTTGGTATTACTATGAAATATAAATTGATACTGTGAAAAATTCATCCAATTTTATTTTGGTCATACTATGAAATATAAATTGATACTGTGAAAAATCCATCCAGTTTCATTTTGATATTACTATGAAATATAAATTGATACTGTGAAAAATCTATCAAATTTTATTTTGGTATTACTATGAAATATAAATTGATACTGTGAAAAATCCATCCAATTTTATTTTGGTATTACTATGAAATATAAATTTATACTGTGAAAAATCTATCAAATTTTATTTTGGTATTACTATGAAATATAAATTTATACTGTGAAAAATCTATCAAATTTTATTTTGGTAATACTATGAAATATAAATTTATACTGTGAAAAATCTATCAAATTTTATTTTGGTATTACTATGAAATATAAATTTATACTGTGAAAAATCTATCAAATTTTATTTTGGTATACCGTGAAAAATCCATCCATATTTTTTATACTAATACTATGAAAATGTTGTAACTGAACTAACTCAGTTCCTTATCATCAGACGAATCAAAAATCTCTCTGAATCAACCAAAAAGATCTGTTTGAAAATCCATCTTGGTTTTACTCAGATATATATTTACCCTTAATATAGTTCTTATAGATGCTTGCTTATTATAAATCATTGTCTTCACAAATACTGTTTATGTCTTGTAAAATAGCACCTATCAAATTTTATAGTCAACGATATTATTATTATTGTTCAGTTATATAGATGAAATGGCAGTAGGCACAATGTGGAAAATGTTTGGCTTTAATTACAATTTAGAAAGCTTTTCTTTTGTTTTGATATATCTCTGGAATATCACTGATAGACAAAACATTATGTTCTTGTTAGTTTTATTTGTTGTTAAAACATTAAGTGGGAGTATGCACAAATTTATTTAATATGTTATAAAATCTTTAAAAAAATAATGAAATTTACTTTGAAAACATTAAAAAGAATTGGACCATATTTTGAAAGTTGCAAGCAAATGAAGTTCTTGAACAAGGTTACTTCCTCTATTAAGATGAAAGAAAAAAAAACAAGAATTCCTCTTGACATTTGTGTACATATTCATGAAATCCTTCTCATAACGAGTGCCTAAGAAAGAATTTTGAAATATATATTATCAATTCACAACATCTGTTGTATTTACATTTTATGATTTTTTATGTAAATCTAAAGGTTTAGTATATATTATAAAGTAGATGTATATTAAAGTAAGTATATATGCCAATTTCTTAACAATTTATTATAATGTTTGCATTATTATAGTGTTCTAGTGTATATTAATGAAATCATCTCTATTTGTAATGCTTATTACATTCTCTTACTGTAGGTAAAGTCAACTTCAAATTATTTTACCTTCTATGATATGAGAATGAAATTGAAGGCAAGACTTATAGGGTTTTAAAACAAAATTCTATGACAGTGCCAAAAAAATGTTATTTTGAAGAAACTCTGGAAGGAAGCTTATCATTGACTTTAACCTCAGAATTACTTTTGGTATTAATGCATGCAATATATCCAATGCAAGGATGTGCTTAACATAAATAAAACAATACATTATAAATAAGAGTAAACAATTCTTATAACATTTTCCATAATGTCAAGCTTCATACTTCGTTTTATACCTTGACTGCAATAGCCACCTTTTTTGCTTGATTAGACTGTATGCCAACGAATACAGCCAATCATAGTCCTGGACAGACAGACTGTAAACATTATGGGTTATTGTTTAAATCTTTTCTGTTAAGGACTCTGATTGGCTGTATTTGCTAATGATGTGCAATTAGCACAAAATTGCTGCATTTAAAAACTCCCATGACACAAGTTGGGGCAGTCAAGGTATAGGACAAGGTACCTAATAGCTTGACATTATGAAGATGGACCTACATGCTGCTATCATTTCCATCTAACCTTTTTTCATCTTCAGTGTATATTTTTTGCATTTTATTTATATTCATGAAAAAGGCTTAGTTTTAAATAATAAGCCTATAAGTGGATGTGATTTACTTGACACAGCACAAACTTACATTTTTAGATTTATCAAATATGATGTCAAATACATCTAGCTTGATTGTCACTATTATACTGCTCAGTGGACTTTGCCCTGGTAAAAAGCAAACAGGGTCTTTGTATTTTCAATCAATATTAATTAGTAATTAGAAGTTTGTGTTGTGAAATATTTTAAAAGTTATAGCATAATCTCAAAAAGTAAGGATGTACTATCCTTTTTGTCTGTGATAATAAAGTTGTTTTTCATCATTAACGCTTTTTTTTTCTTACAAATTACTTGTTAAAGTGAAATTGCCATGATTGTTTACTAAAGTCAAAAATGACAATTGAATAATGGGACCCTCTCATGAGATAACTTTAATTGACTTTGGAAAAAGAGAGTCTCAAGTTAATCCCAACCCTAGTTAACCCCAACTCCTAACACTGGGTCTCGGTGGCCTAGTGGATTTACTGCTTGCTTGCCAACATTGAGGTCGTGGGTTCAAATGCCAGTTGAAGTTTTTTGAAAATTTATTTTTTTTGTAGAGTCTAACACTGTCTTTTCTATCATTTTAGGTATACTAATGTATTTTATCCTCAATTGAGCAGGCTGTGCATAGCTAACCCTAATTTTCTGTTGACCACATTTTAACCCCTGCCATTTGTAGACAACAATGAACAACTCTGTCACAATTACATTTTTGGAACAGATTGGAATAAACAATATTTTTTTTCTTATTTTTGTCAGAACATGAATATTTGCCCAAAATGATGAAAGCTCTGGTTAAAGAGCACAAATTTATTTGAAATTAAGTGGACAAATGGATTAAATTTGGGACTTGGTACCAAGGAATCGATAAACAGTGCAAATCCAGGCAAAGATAATATGCACTTAATGTCACCCAAATACATTAGCTAGCTGATTTTATCATGTAAGAAATAGATTTAGTGTTGATGCCATAATTTATGGCTTTGGATGGCCTATTATCTTTTTCTTTGGTTGATGATGTTTTAAAGGTTGTAAATCACAAAATACACAAAGAAAATGATAGTTTCATTTCAAGTCCACTGATGAACAGACTTATTTTGGCCAAGTTTTAAAATTTCAATTTTTTGTCATTCTTTGAGGTTTACCTTTAATAAATCTGACTGTTCAGAAAGTAACCTATATTATGGTCACATATACAAATAATCTAGTTAATATAGGCCTTTATTCCTTGAATTCCAATATTGTAGACTACATATTTAATATCATATTCCAAGGGCAGGTTAGTAAACTTTGAGATTCCCATTGATAAATAGTAATAAAACAACCATAGATTATCAGCACTTAATATTTTGCAATTAATAAACACGAAATTCAGGGCATATAAATTTAATGTTTAAACAATAAAAGGACCTCTCTATAAGTTATTTCAAATTATTGGGCCTAGACAATTTTAGAATGACTTTAATGAATTCCTCTGTAAGGTGGTACTAAGCTTGCAGAAGGTTCCTGCTCTTTTAAAGCATCCCATTTCTGTATCTGAAATTAGGATAAAGTAGATATCAGAACATATTTCAAAAAGTCTGTACATTTCTTTAAAGGAAAAGAAAAATTAATAATTTTAAGGCAAAATTATTCATCGATGTAAGCTTACTGCTATAGTCTTAAATTTAGCACAGTCATAGTCTTCAAAAAGTTTTACTGTAGATTTCAATAATATTATAGTCTTAAAGGCTTAAAGGGATTGAAAAGAGGTTTATAAATATTTTATGTGTATCAAGGACATTGATAACATCAATTTGCACCATTTTCAATCAGACTTTTGTGGTTCTTGCAATTTCACTAAAACTAAGGATTTGATGACATTACTAATCGCAAAAACCCTTATGGGATACAAGCATATTTTGCAATAAGTTACATCATCAAGCATTAATTCTTATGGAATAGCAGGAACCACAGAAGTCTGACTGAAATTGGAATGGTGCAAATTGATGCTATCAGTGATTCTGATACACATAAAAAAATTCACACTCAATTTAGAAATGGGTTCCCTTATTTATGAAAATACTTGTATGAATAGAAAGTAGAGGTGTTCTAAAGACTATAATTTTAAAGCCACAATCAGTCACACCTACTTCATCGTGCAATATAAAAACTATTCTTACCAAGGCATGAGGACATGTTTCAGAGTACAGCCTTTTGAAATATTCACAAGGTTTATAATCTTCTCCTTTGATATCAATACATCTATTATAATCTACGTAGTTCTGGTTACAATACCTACAAATAATATATACTTATTTAGTTTTAAAGTGCCAGCAAGCATCAGAAAACCAAATTGCCACAAGCAAGATTGAGGCATCCGGTATCCAGGACGAAAATATATAAGCTAAGATATATCTATAATTTGAGAAAAAAAATAAGTAGGTCTACAGTAATCTGATTGGCTGATACAATTAAATTCAAAATCAATTTTGGCCAATCAAATGAATTGAACACTAAATCATCCTAAGTTAAGTTATTGTTAAACAGGCCCCAGGATTAATGTTTTCGACATAAGAGAACAGAATGTTAAAATATTTTTGTTGTTTCTCTCAAGTTCAGCTAGTTTATTGCTGAATTGGCTCATGTGCCCTAAATCGAACACATACATTGACAGTAAAAGATACACACAAGCCATTAATTTGTATGTTTATATTCCATGGTGGTTCAAATATAACTTGTTTATACTTACCTAGTTTGGTTCATGTTAGGAAAACGGGCATCAAACTGACATCTTGACAGAAATGTTTTCGAGATCTCTTGGATCATTTTCTACAATATATAATATAATAGGTTTTAAAGTTATTGAAAATAAGCCATCTTTATCAGTTGAGAATTGAATAGAAATTGTTTTGGTAAGCTTTTGGATGAAATTCATATTTTCAACAACATAATTAATTCGAGACTGACCAAAATAGATCAATAATAAATAGAAATATCACCTTTCGGTCACTGTCTGCATTGTCTGACATTTTGTGGCTGTTTATAAATTTCTAATGCTGGACCTATAAAATAAGATTTCAATAATTATCATTATTTTGTGTTTGATCTGAAGGTTGCTTCAACAAAATTTTCATGTAGTGGAGACTTTTGCTTGATCTGTACCAGAATTTAGAATCAACCTAGCAAAAAAATTCCAGAGAATCTAACACTAGCTGACAACATTGAGCTTTGAATTAAATTAAATAGGTGTTGATATTAATGAACTTAAGTGTGGATATGTTGTTCTTTGCGTGAAGTGCTAATTTGGTTTCAACACACAGTAAGTTCAAACTTTGACAATAAATCTTGTCTACATTATGAAGACAGTCCAGCTAGACACATCATTAGGGTCAAAGTGGTAGACAGTAGTGTTATTAATCTGACTTTCATTCGTATGTACATGGCAAAGTTTTTTGCATCTATTCTGTGAGATGTTACCAATCAAAAGTCAGTCAAGGAGAAGTGCTGAATCTAACTACCAAAATCAAGATGCCTGTCAAGATATTTCACAAATAGTTCAACATCTGGAATCCCTAATTAACTTGACCCTGTCTGTGGACACACAAACTGACAAAGTAAGCCATACTTGAGTAATCCTTAGCTTGATGCTTAGTTCAGCTAAGCTTACTACAGAGGTTACTTTTTGACAAATACATCTACCACCTTATCGTTTACATCCTTATTTATCCTTTTCTACATCAAAAATAAAAGGACCATCGTTGAGAGAATTTAGAAAAAATATATTAGGCCTATCTGGCTGACAACACTGACAGTGACTTTTCTTTTGCTTCACATTTCGTTGTCATTTCTGGCCCCGATTTTTAAGAAGGGAGCATTGTCTTGGGGTTTAAACTGTAGAATCATTCCAACACAATGTGTCTGAAAAAAAATCAAACCTATTAAGTGATTATTCAGTTGACAAATAAGTAAAATACGAAGACAGATAATGACCTTGTTGTAAACTCTCAACTGGAGAAGTAACCGGAAGTAGAAAGGCTTCGTTCACTTCGTACAACCTAATTCAGACGAAAAACGAAACATTATTTGTGACATTTTTTCAGTCTCAAGCAGATCTATGCGGGTTTTGGATCCAACGTATCTATGACAGATATGGTTAATTTGGGGATTTCACACAACGCCATTTAGTATATTCTCCAGTAGATTTAAAAGAGAAAAATAATAACGAGTGTTTAAAATATAAAATTACACCGTTTAATGATCTGATCCATTGATCCGGCATGTTAAATGGCATTACATTTGCAGTAACATTTTGAGTTCCTCGCTCAACCTTGTATAGAATGGAGATGTTTTTGACTAGTAATGCTAAATGTGATTGTCATTTATTGGTTTACAAGAGAGTGGGTTGTGCACTGTGATAAAATGTTTAGTTTTTATTTATATGTCTACTGAAATGAGGATCACCTGTAAGATGTTTATTGGATACATGCACAAACCAAATTGAAATGCTACCTAAAAAGCCTCCAAGATGTGCTCAAGAAGTTTGTTCTTAGTGTGTATGCGATATAGGCACAAAGCAAGTTGAACATCCATTCTTTCCAAGATGTAGAAGTGCAAGCCATAGAAAGTATTTTGTATAACCCATTTTTTTTTCAAATAGCCATTAGGCAAAGATAGCTACCTTTATCAGCATCAATTTTGGCCTTACAAGGAAATTTTTGGAACTAGTTTGACCAAATGCCACTACAAGACTGATCAATTGCAGCAATTTTCTTTTCAGTCAGGTGCATTGTGCTACATTATAACCAACAATTGTTGTTCCATAAAGTTGTGTCTATTATCCAACTCACAATTGCTAAATGCCATTTAAAGACTTTGCAACATTCCAGTTTGTATCATCCAAAACTGCAATGAGGCAGAATCCGTGACCTAAATGGCACCTCAAGGTCCCAACTTTAATAATTTAGCCATTTAGTTGATTTTCTGGCACTCGAAATGAAATAAAGACAAAGTATATTTATTTTTTATTCTCTTAAATAATTTAGAGATTTTGTTTTCGGTATCTATCCATCCAGGCTTTGAGTGGACCATGATCTGGTTTATATTGTACAGTAACACCATCAGGTACCAGTTGACCAGCTTTGAATTTGACGTCATATTCTTCACGAGACCATTTAGTAAATCCCCATTTCTTTGATACATAAATCTGCAAAAAAGAGTGTTCACAGCTGAAGATTTGGATCAATTTATCCTATAGACTTACAGAAAAGACAAATAAAACATCTGCTGTAGCCACAATTTAATTTTTTAACACCCAAACTAATAGAAGGTTTATGCAAACATTTAAACTTTTCTTGTTTTTTTGGTTGTATTGGAAATCTCTTGTATGAAGCAAAATAAACGCCAAATAGTAGAAAAACATATTATCTTCTACTTATTTTGAAGGTTTCAACTAAAAATATCAAGCATTACAAAGTCATACGTCAAAACTAGATCCAAGTACTTACTTAGCAATTAGTACTTTGTTCTTAATCAACTCTTTTTAAACAAATACAGTTTGGTTGACTATACATAGATATAAACAGCATATTTTTTAAACCTTTTGTTTGTAAAATATAAATTTTGCATACTGCCCAATTTATCACACAAAAGCTTTCTTACATAAAACAAGTTTCAACTTGCTTCTCACCTTTTGTCTGCCTGGGTATTTAAATTTGGCTCTTCGTAAAGCCTCAATGACATGACCTTCAGCGTTGTCCCTGCTTCTAACAGACATGATAGGTTGTCCAATATTGACACGAGCAACAGTTCCTTGTGGTTTACCATAGGCACCACGCATACCAGTCTGGAGTCTGCAAGAAAAATTGTAGCATTTCAAATCCTGTATTTAGTCACTAATTTATCATTGGTAAAGAATAGATAAATCCTATTTCACCCATCACGATTCACGTACATTAATAATATTCAATAGTTAACTGACATATGTTTGATTTCATTGTCAAAGGTGCTAAATTAAGACATGGAAATACTCAAAAATATAGCAATTGGTTTGCCCAAAAAAGCATTAACATGAAAATGTATAGTTACCTATCAGCTCCAGCACACGACAACATCTTGTTGATTCTGACAACATGGAAAGGATGTACTCTTACTCTAAGATGGAAAGCATCTTTACCAACATGTTTTACCAAATATTTATTAGCACAAATACGTCCAGCTTCTAAAGCTTCAGAACTAAGTTGTTCATATTCATCAGAAACTAAATGTACACAGTTGGCGAATTCATCTACTCGTGCCTTCTTTCTTCCCAGATCAAAAATCCTAATTTTAGGATCTGAAAGAAAACAGAAGTTAAAATTGATAAAACGATTCATAAAACATTTAACTAGAAATCAAACAATATATATATATACAAGACAAAAACTTCCATAGCCATACAGTTGTATTTTGTTCAATGCATAAGTTGGCCAGGAAATTCCACACATTATCAACAAATAAGCAGCTGAATCAGGAAAACATAAGTAACAAGTTAGCATTTTTCTAATATTTTAAGATATTTGTGCAAGACATTTACAATGTCATCGTCTTTTGATATTGTGGAGTCCCTGGAAAATAAATTGATTATAAGTTAAGATGTATTTACCTGGTACACCTCTACAGAAACGAGATTTTGGATAAGGCTTATTTTTACAGTATCTGTAGCTGAAATGTCAAACAAAACTATCTAAATAAGTTTTAATATCAATTATGCCATGTAACATACTGGTACTGCTTTTATTTATCAGACCACTACAATTTTCTTTTACAAAGAAGTCTGATTTGCTAGTGACCAAAAGGATTGCTCACAATTCTTCTTTAGAAAAAAATTTCCCAAATATAATCTTGAACCAAGATGTTACTACTTAAACATCTTCGATCATGAAAAAACTTATTCAAGGTAAAATGCTCCCAAAAGCATAGCAGATCTATCACATGTTTTAAGGTGGGATAAAGATCCAAGGTAATGTCTCAGACCCTGGTGGCTGAACTGATGCCAAACATTTTACTAAATTACAACCATTAGATCACAAAAATGACCTCCCTATGCCAAAATTAATTCCTGTTCACTTAAATTTTGCCCCAATAATCAAGTAAAACCTAAGAGCAGTTTATATTCTTGAGAAATTTAAGCATACGAAAGTTGCTGAATAATTGTGATAATACAAAATTTCAATACGTACCACCGAGCTGGTCGGCGACCCATCTTGAATCTAAAAAATAAAGATAAAAAGGCTGGTTTTAACAATAGATAAATGTTTCAACAATGTCAATAACTATTAAGGAATCGGATGATTTAATTAGATTTTGTAGATCTACCCAGAATAAGGGTGATTGAGTTAGATTAATTTTCTTATCTAAAATACCACGTCCGACATGATTACCTACTTTCAATGGGAGAGAACTCTGCTTACATTTACCGGAAGTCTACGTCATGTGATAAACATTGGAAAAGCTATTTTTATATCAACAGAGAAAGGAAAGACTTCTCGTTTACTTTGTGTAAATTAAAATAATTGGAATGGCTTGATGCAATCATGGATTCGGGTAAAATTAACTTGACACTTATTTTTTCGTCAGGGTTGACTCGGAGATGCCGTGGTTATCATAGAAAACACTGATTTGTACTCGACTCCAGTCTGTCTCATCAAGTTTATCACTGCACTTCATCACCATCAATCAGCCCTTCTTCTACTGTTCACTTTCAGTCTTACAGTTCAAAGTTACCCTTTTTTTTTAACCTAAATCCCCAAATCCAATCAAGTATCAATCATTGACGTTCATCATCAGTAGGCTATCACACACCAATCATTAACAACACACTTGTGAATGTCCTTTCTTTTATTACCGGGGTACCTATTTCATTTTCTGTTTTCTTTGTTTCCTTACTTTTATATCGTAAGCTAATTTATGTTTTATTAGGAAAGGTCTTTCAGCCAATACAAAATAAGGTTTTTTTTTATCGCTATATATAAACTAATTCAGATCCAGACAGGCACTGCAGTCCATTCATTTGGATCTTTACTTTTGATTCCTCTCGATAAAAGTTGATTTTGGCTGAAGTTTTTGACACTATATATGACAGTGAGCGCATGATTTTAATCAACCACATTTCAACACTTAACGCTGATATAAATAAATGTGAAAACTGCTTGCATGACGCAGCAAAATTTCTGAGAAAGGAATTTGGACAGAAGCCATCCTCTATGTGTAAATGTAAAGAATTTGGCAATTCGCTATTTTATTTAGCGTAATAAGATTGATTTACTGCTGTATATATTTTGACTTCTGCTCGTTGTCATCTAAACAAGCTGCCATTAAATACTTAGTGATCTTATTTCATTTGTTTATTCAAATTTTACAAACCCCTCTATTCTTGAAATAAGTAAATTGTGGTGATTTTTGTGAAAATATTATCTGGACTACTGGTAAGCTTATATGTTGTTTATGTATCTTAATGCAAAATATAAAATATTTTCAGATGTGTTTTCCGAATAAAAGAAATTGTCTTAAAGAATCCTCACTAATGTTTGATATTCATATCATACTAGTTGCTATATATGTCTTTTGACAGATCATGTCATGACATTTGACCTATTAATTAGTCTCATTGATCAGCAATAAACTCTTTTGATATTTAAAATGTCTATCACACTTCATTTGTTATACTAATTGATGGTAATTAAACCTGAACTATTAATTTGTGTCACACTGATGTTGAAATAGTACATGGTTATTATTATTGTCCAAAACACTGTTTTATAGGAACTCTTTTCTGTTTGAATGCGTTGTTATGAATGGTTGGTCTCAAGTATTTTTTATTTATTTCATTGAATAGAAAAGAAAGCAATGGCATACTGTTGAAAGTAGTTTTTTCCATCAGTGAGACTGCATTTGACTATTGTGTTTTCCATCAGTGAGACTGCATTTGACTATTGTGTTTTCCATCAGTGAGACTGCATTTGACTATTGTGTTTTCCATCAGTGAGACTGCATTTGACTTTTGTGTTTTCCATCAGTGAAACTGCATTTGACTTTTGAGTTTTCTATCAGTGAGACTTCATTGACTATTGTGTTTTCCATCAGTGAGACTGCATTTGACTTTTGAGTTTTCTATCAGTGAGACTTCATTGACTATTGTGTTTTTTATCAGTGAGACACATAATCCATGTATGAAAACAAAATATACATGTAAGTTATATGTGGATAAATATTGATATAACTTGACAATAAATTCAGTACATCAAAAGCTTTAAACTTGTTTTTATTTTGTTTTTTAGGGCAAGAACCTCGAGTTAATGAACGACAGAGTATCTTGACTCGTTTACTAGATTCTGTTAAACAGGTAGGTGTAGGAGATGCTGAGTTGACAAACCTGGTCACAGATAGGTATTGGGTGTCCCAGTAATGAGAGAAATATCTATGTGATTCACTTTTATTCATGGTAGAGTCTATTTAACAATCTGTTGATTGATGAATACAGATTGGTGAAGATAAATTGTTTGTGAAATTAATTGAGACATTATCTTTAAAAAGTTTATCTATAAACAGTTGATTTGATAAATAATATTTTATCTTTATTTTCTAGTGTCAAGTGAGATTTGGTGGCAGATCAGAATTGGCTGCTGATGGAGATAGCAGGTTTGTTTTTATCCTTATTTTAAAATCATTTTATGTATAAATTAGTCTTACATTTCATTTTCTTAAAGGATAATAAATAAAAGAATTGCAATACTTCAGTTTCACTTTAGAAGGTAAACTTCATACTAGGGACCAAGTTTATTGATATTCATGACGTGGAAACCAATCAACACATGGTTTATTTTGTAAATCAACACACGATTGAGGGGGGTGGAGGAAGGCAATGCCTTCCCTAAAAAATGGATTGCCCCCCTGAAATAGTTCTGAAAACCGACCAATTCCATTACTGCACCATACAACATTCCCCATCAGGATATATTACTTACCCCTCAAGTCTGGCTAAATGGTCACTAGGTTCTTCACCTCTTTATTAATTGAGTAGATAGCTGATCCTTACTTTATTCACAATTGAAATGGAAAGGTGGTATTATCCAGATATTTTATATTGATTTTTATGTCTTATTGTGTGTTATAGGGTTTCATGTCTCTGTGCTGCCTGGGAGACAGCCTTACAACATGGTATGAAACAAAATAATAAGGCTTTATTAGCTATCAAGTAAGTCATTTAACATCATTATATTAGTCCTACATTGTTATTATCAAAACATGTGATAAACTTTCATTATCACTTTAGATGATAAAGGAATAAGTCTTTTAAAGATAACAAGCTTGATTCAACATTTTCATTTTTCATTTCCAATATTAATTTTGTTTGTGAAATATTGTAAATTCTGGAGATTTTACTATATAACTTACTCTGAAAGTAATTGTTTATTACCTTGTTAAGGATTATAAGTATGGGCCAAAAAGTTTTAAGGTGGGGAGGGGGGGGGGGGGGG